CCTTCATGCCCTTCTTCATTCTAAATCATCAATCTCTCTCCAATTCTTTTTAACTTTTTCTTTTTAGCCACTTATTATGACGATGCAGCACCGTTTGTGCTGAGCAACACACAGCTCTATCCCTCCCACCCTTCTTTATCCTGCACAGACACCTTTAAAAGATTTGAAATTCTCAACGAAAATCTTTTTCAAGAAATCTTCACCACGACAAATTGATATGTCCCTTCTTTGCGACTTCTACTCTTCTTGCTACTTCATTCTTTTCAATTGAACTCCAACAATTGGTGATCATAGTATTCGCATGAGAAAACTTTCCAATCGACGGATCTGATCCATACTCATCTGACCATTCCCGTTATGTCATGAGTTCAGTCCGCCGATGCACGCGCCGCAGCCACGACTGGACAGACTGGTCCTTTTGCTCATCCAGGAGGAAAAGGCTCGCCGGGCGAGATCCCCCCCGCGGAAGTATCACTACTGGGTGCCGTTGTCCAGAGTTCATGGCGTGGGGTTGCAGTCCGCGGAGACGACCTGTCGAATTTGGCTCATCGTATGTTCGAGTGTTGGCTTCATCCTCCCGCTATAGACTGAAGCTGTAAAGAGGGCAAGAAAATTCGCAAGCGAACAGATTTGCTTTTTCGCTACTTCGCCTCAACACACTTCGCATTCTACTAACAAACCTGAAGGTTCTTCGATACCTATAAAGTATGATAAGCAGCTTGGCCTTCCCTTGTTCTTCTCTTAACCATGGCCATTGTTGCGCTGCTTGTTCTTGTCATACGCTGCTAATTTCGTCCCTACTTCTACTTTACTGGGTATGTCCCATATTCTTCATACCGCCATTGTCACCGTCAATGGTCACCATCACCGGCGCCTCTACTCTCCGGTGAAATGCATGGATTTTCACGATACACGTGATCGATTTGGAGCAAGCCAAGGTCTCGGGATTAACATTTAGCTATAAAGGATGTGCTTACGAGCTAATGTCATCTTTAGAGGCATGAATTTTCAATGATGCTTCTTCTAGCCGAAGCACCAGCAGCAACAGACACAGATGATTCTTTCATCATCCTTCAACTCAAACCCCCATCTTGGGTTCAATCTAGGAAATTTTTTGAACGGGAAGATTGTTCAAGCGAAATGAAATCAATTGATGAGAAGATTACCAATATATGAGGTGGATTGGGTGGGTAATCTTGATCAATCAGATCTTGATGGGTTATCGAGCTTTTGATGTAAGATGATGAATGATGATCGGATCGAACTCGACTAATTCGAGGGTTTAAAGTGATTGGAACATGGATTGTGTATCATAAACTTGCACCAGCACGTATACATATAATAACCACTTCATATATATGACGATTTTGGTGTGCTAAATTATTGTTTTTCATATTTCAAAGCTTGTTCAAATTATCATCAATCTTTTTCTTTTTTTTCTTTTTTTTTTTTTTAATTTGTAAATTATGTTGTTGGTGTAGTTTTAGATCTTTGATGGGTTCCTTTTTTTCGTAATTCAAGTTAAAAGTTTTTTTTTTTTTTTTTTTCCTTTTCCTCTTTGAGAAGAAGAGAATCTCGGTTTGGTCTTTCATGTTGACTAAAGTTGATTAATGAAATTAATCCATTTCTACTTTGTACACGTCTTTATTAGGGTTTTTGGATTTATTAATTGGTAATTGTTGTTTTAATTTAAATGAATTTAAATCTTGTGGGCATGGCTTTATCAATAAATAAAATCACATCTTATTGGAAGGATTTACGGAGCTCAATGGAAAATAAATAAAAAATTATTTCTATTCCTATGAAGTGACTTTTATTAGATTTAATCTTAAATTAATTAATTAATTATTGTGATTTGATTCAATTAGTGGAATTAACTTGGGATGGATAAAGGATATTATTTGAGCATCTGGAATCCGGTCAAGGTGGCGCAAAGAATACAGAGCTGTTTACGTGGCAAGCATGCATCAAGTGAGTATATTTTTGATGATTTGAGGATTCTTGGGCAAAGGGTCTGATCCTCACTCTGCTCAGAAATTTTTTGGCTTGCCTTTCCTCTGCAAATCTCTGCATTAAGCTGTTTATCATTCTTGTATACTGAAATCATTTTTTGGGCTTCTTAACATTCTCGTTTTAATTTCTGTTGGGTGAATTTTAAGAACATTTTAATTATATTTTATTATACTTCAATTTATAAATATAACGCCTATTTTGATTAAAAATGTTCCAAACTATCTGCATTTCGTTACTTTTCCTGTCTCGAAATATAAGTCCGTTACATTATTTTTCGCAAACGACGATAAGTAAGAATACTGATCACAATCTCATATTAAAAGTAACTTTGTAAAAATAGCCGATCCATACTTTGAAATAATAATACTAACTATTAAAACATATCATTATTATTATTTAAAATGTCATTAAAAAAAACGATCTGTTTAGTATTTTTATCTCTTTTGAAGACTGTAAAATGAAAAATTTATTATTATTTAAAAATGTATTAAAACGATCTATTTTGATATTCTTATCTCTTCTTACGAAGATAATCAACAAGAATGAAAAGTCTCCGGATTTAAATCCTGCGATACATCATGCGAGCCATTTATTATGGCATATGCCCCTTCCCACGTGAGAGTAAGTACCATTTTCTGATGCCAAACAAGTTGCAGCCAAAGGCAAATCCAGCCTTACTAACTTCATTTCTGGTATAAGAAGACAAAGTTCTTTTTCTAAAAGAGAAAATTGCTTAACAATTTTAATTTGATCTAAAAGTATATTAAGTAAACATCCATTTTTACACAAGTGATAATTCCTTTTTTCATAAATAAAGTCTGATATGAAAAATACAATTTTTTACCTGTCTTCACATGAGTAAATTAAAAGGAACAAGGATGAAGGGTGGAGACATTGATGTGCATTTAAATCAATGCCACACTCCTGCTAATCATATTTCCATTGATGTTTTTTTATTCTAAGCATTTAATTCTGGAGAGTATCGTCTGCAAAATCTCTAAGGCCACATTATTAATTATTATTATTTGCAAAATTAAAACTCAATTTGCATCGAATAAACTTACTTTATTTAATATAATTAACAAAAAAAGTTTAAATTTGATATTTTGGATTAATTTTAAATGCCTAAATTTATTTAAAATGATCAAAAAAACAAAATTAACCTTTTTAAGGCCAATTTAATTCTTAAACTGTTTTTTAATATTTTTTGGACAAATTACTAATTGATTTAATTCTAATAGAAATTCGATTTTTCTTCTCCCTCCTATCTTTCTCGTAATTAAAATACCCTAATCCCAAATTTTTTCTAACACTTTTGACATTGAAAAAGCTTTAAATTCAATAAAAGCGTCATGTTTGCACACATAAATTTATAAATATGTTAATATCACTTTAATATGTTCAACACGAGAAATATCATGAATTTCCATTATCAATTTTAAAATATTTAATTAATATATATTTATAAATTCATAAAATTATTGGTCAACCGTAAGAGGATATACATATATTGTTTTTATATGGTTTTCCTTTTATTTCATATTTAGATTTACATTTTTTCTCAATAAAATATTTAAATTAATATATATTTATAAATTTAAAATTATTGGTCAACGTAAAGAGGATATAATATATTTTTTATATGGTTTTCTTTTATTTCATATTTAATTAATTTTTTTCATATATTATATAACTCGATCCCAACTATAATCTTAAATGCACGGTTAAATTAATAAAAAATATTAAGTCTGATCTTTTTAATTATTTTTAAATAAATTTAAGGCGTAAATTGACTCACAATCTCAAATATGATCTTTTTAATTATTTTAAATAAATTTAGGAGTCAAATTGACCGAAAAGGTCAAATCTGACATTTTTAATCCCGCTAAACAAGTTTAGGGGTAAAATTAACCTTTATTCTTTATTATTTTAGTACTTTTTCCATCTCAAAATATAAGTGGCTTAAATTATTTTACAGTGATTATTTTGCTTCATAATATAAATCATTTTAAATATTTTAAAAAGTAATAAATGATATTTTTCTAATATTAATCTTATTTATTTAGATACAACATTTATTTTCACAAATAATTAATTATTTTTTAATCGCATATTTATATTTATAAATACAGGAAATAACATAGTATAGTTAATGTACATGTGAATCTAGATGTCCATTGAATTAGAGTATTTGATGATGATCAATGCAGGGTTGTGATGTGACAAAAAGTATATAGTAAAAAATTATGAAGAAAGAAAGGAAATGGAAAAAAACTAGGGATGATGTACCACTCTAAAAATGAAAACATATTATTTGTTTCCTAGGAGGGCTGCTTATCTGAAATACAGCTAGGATGGTAGGGAAAGGACCCATAAGGGACTGTTTGGAATGATTCTTTTTTCTTTTTCAACTTTGTTAGGTCTTTTTTATATTTTTTGGGATGGGTTGGGTGCAATGAAATATGTTGGGGTTAGGTGATGTTATGGTCAGAGACTCACAAGAAATGGTGTGGGAGTGGGGGAGCAGCCCATGCTAAAATGACCCTTGATTGGGCCTTTAGGGTCCCCCACCTGCCCTTGACCTTTAGGGTAAAGTGTCACATATTTTCATTTCATTTATTGAAAAATTAAATTCAATGGGACATATAGGCCCATACTTTTGTAATGCTTGTGACTCTCTAATACTTAAACTTCATTCCAAGAAAGTATGGTTGACAACTGTGAATAGGTACATTTTTAAGATTATTAGATAGATAGATAGATAGATAGATTCACACATTTATGGATTGCCCTATTCCTCCTGCCTCCATTGCCACTGCCATTAGACTTTTAACTTCAGTTCAATGAGACAGATAGATGGCTATCTGTCTACCTTTGTATTGAACATTATAATTATTGCCAAATGATATCCAACATGAATAATTAGTATAATTAACTTTTTTAGCTCAAGTGTTGGTTTTTTATTGATAAAATGTGGGATTTATATATACTATGAAATCCATGAAATTTGAAATGTTCTCAAGTAGGTCAAAAAGAATAATTACATTTAAGTAAGAGACTAGGGTGAAAAATTAAATGTATCCTATAAAATGCTGCTATATCCCAACAATGACTTTCCAATCAAATGTTCAGCTGCCTATATACCATTTTTATGTGAATGAACAAGTACTGGAATTTTTCAGTTGTCCTTACAATTTCTTGAGTAGCTGGAAAAAGACAATCGGGATTGTGATTGAAAGAAATCAAATGGAGTAGCTGAACCAAGAGATCTTCTAGTATTTGGAGAGTCTGATAATAGAGGTTCATAAACTGAACTTCTGTTTTTCGGTTGAGTTATTATTGATAAGGAAGAAACTTCTTTTTCTAGTGATCTCGGTTGTGACTCGATAATCCCTAGAGATAGTATTGGCCCACCCAAACGTTCAGCCTGCTGGAGAGTGTTGATTTTACTTGGTCTATACGTGTAGCGGAAGTACTTTAGAGCTAGTATCGGCCCCATTCCTGCTGCAACTATGACCTGCAAGGAAACGAGTGCTCGACAAAGGCTCAGTGACGTATCTGGTTTGATAACAAGAATAATGTGAGGAAATGGTCAAGTAATACTTACAGATATAGTTATCCAGTAAGATGGTTGTGCACACAGCCGAAACATTATAGTATACATCCCGGCTGATGGAATGGCACTAACGATCCAGTTGATGACGTAAAATGCAATCAAGTTCCCCCAAATGGCAAGATGCTGTAATATTGTAAAAGAGCTGCAATTCATAACCAAAGTGGAGGGATTTAAAATCTTCTGCCATTTTCAAATATAAATTTATTGTTCAAACAAACAACATAATGCAAGAGATGGAAGATTACTTGGTCTCTAATGTTACAACGAACGCCTGCAACCAGATACATCCAGAAAGTGCCACCATTGCAACCTCCTCCATTTCACTTCTTTCATAGGCAAATGCATTTATACTGATGACAAATACAACAATTGCCTGAAAATCATCCGGGTGTTAATAGGTATATAGAAACCCCTTAAACACCATTAAAACATGATATAATGGCCCATTATTTTGGATCCCACAAACTTAAAATTCAGAAATTCACATATCGCCACAAAACTTGATGCTTGGAGCAGCTGTATGAGTATTCTAATACCTAAAAGTTCAAAACTGGCATTACGATATACATTTATGTCAATTTTAATCACTTAATACCAAAATTTGAGCACTATTACTAAATTTAAGTCCAATTCCAATCCTAGATTTATATGATTCTGTCTCTGAACTAAATATGTACGAAGTAAGGACCAGGTGCAATAGCTATAAATAATTGTAGAAAGAAAAGAAGGTAATTATACAAAAATGATAGCACTCACATGGAACAGAGATCGACCAAACCATCCAGCAAAGGTACTTGGATTGAGAAGCCTGTGTCAAGAATGATTGTCAGCTCAATATAGAGGACCAGGAATTACTCTCATGCAGACAGCAAATCATGCTAGTCAGCATTCCAATGAATTCAACCCCTTAGGAAAACGAAAATGGAATTCTTATAGATAAGCATACTGTATGTTTATAAACTGAGAAAATAAGCACACCTTCCAGCTTGGCAATAGAATAGAATTTGAGGATGCTGCATTACTGTTTCTTCATTAAGATCTTTGTCAAGTACACTAACTAGAACAGGTACACTAGTGTAGAAAACATTATAAGCCATCAAGCTGACAGAATTGAATAGACTGGTCCCTGACACACCTGAAATAAATGAAAAACTGAACATATACTAAATTTTAGTGTAAAGAAAAGGAGATCATAATGTTATGCTAAATTTTAGTATTGAAAAAAGGAGATCATAATGTCTATCTAGTGCACAAAACATACCATGCTGAATTATCGAATATAAACAAAAGAGAGCACGGCACTAAATATGGATACTCACAAGATTTGGATGAAACATATCAATAAGGATTTATAGAAGGAATATTGCGACAAAAATGCAGTTCGGTTGTACGAGTAACGGCCATGGACAAGAATCAGTCTTTTCAAAAACCTGAACTCTGCAAATCAAAAAGGTCACACATGAGAAAATAAAAATTAAAATCACCTTTTAATCTTTTTGTTTTAGTTGAATGGAAGTGTTATGGAGAGGATAATTTACAATGTTTGCACTTACAGAACAAGAAGACTTCAAGAATAATTCTTAAATTCATGAGATTGATTTAACCAAGAAAAGGTTTGATGTGTCATTATACTTTTGTCTACAGTTGGAAAGTTAGACCGTGATTAACTTATCCTAAATTTTCTTCCTAAGTAAACTTCCACTTATCTTCATATAGACACAGTTGCTAGCTCTCCCAAGAAAGAAAGCAAAACAGACAGGCCCAAGAATAAGCTGGTGAATAAATTTTAAATGTTGAAATGATTAAAAATATCATCCATTTGCTCATAAAGCTAATCTCCATGTTCATCACTGCTTGTCACAATCACAAATCTTAATTTGCCTTGCAATCAAATCATCTCTCTTATCAGCACTTTAGTAGCTTCCCTAGTGCTTCCATGATTTTCTCAATGAAAAAACCAAACATTCCTGAGAATACATGTTATTGGTATCTGAATAATAAACAGAATTGGAGAAGTTACTTTGAAACCAGCAAAGAATCCAAACCCTAGAGGGAATCTGATTTTCATGGCTTGGGCAATGAAATATCATTGTGGTTTGTGCAAATAAGAAGCACCTCAAAAGTAAGTCAACCTAAAAACCAGTTTAAGGAATAAATTCCTCACTTCTACAGAAGCAACCCTTTGAAGCAAAGTTCACATGTTGCAGCATCAAAGACACAAATAATGTAAGACAACTTACTTCCAATGCTATAATCAGCAGCCCTTGCTGCCTGCAGTCCTTCTCTACCACTAATGCCAACTCCGATGTCAGCTTGTTGAATCATTCTCACATCATTCCCACCATCCCCAATAGCCAGTGTTCTATAGTCACATGATTTCAATAGCTCTACAAGCTGCAAAAAGAAGCATTATACACATCAAATCAGTATTAGTTTACTGAACTGTATCAGTATCATGAATTTCAATTTCAAGTAGAAAGTTCAAAAAATTTTGTTATTCTCTACACAACTAGCTCTATCACTGGGAAAACTGAAGAATGCAAAGAATGAGTCGGAGACCATAAGTACAATTTTATTCCCCAATAATTATAAAGATGAATCAAGCTAAGTACAACGAATAATTGGCAGGCATGGCATGATTGAAAACCTCCGTCTTGCCTTTGTTTTCCAAATTCCTAAATTTTCGGACAAATCTCATGCAAATAGACTATAATCAGCAATATGAACTAAACTTGGACAGCTAATCCAAAATGCATAAAGTAACTATATTCCAGTCACATGATTTGATTCCCCATCCATTCTGATCAGCAGCTATAAGCATGGAACTTATGTCCCATGTTACATTCCTAAGAAAAAACTATATGAGACCAACATGTTGCCATACCCATGAGTCTGCAACCTGTCTCCAAATTTAAGTTCTCGTTAGATGCATAGATCTTATGATAAAGACTTCCCAATCAATTCATTTGTTTTATTTTTCTTTCCAGACAAACCAGTTCACCTTCGCATTCCAGAATAAGGCAGCCATGGAATGCTATGGATTAGACCTACTCTTTTACTCCCTTGATACAATAAAAGCAAGCTTCAATTTACTGACAATTGATAGAACTTTTAAAGCTTTAGTTTATGGAAATTGATACAGCATTTAACCATGCATGTAAGGAATTGGCTACCAAATATCTAATAATAAAAATTTAACTTGACAAAGCCAAATTAGACAAATGCATGTGGAATGCCAACATTACAAAATTAGAACCCGACAACCTGGGCTTTTTGTGATGGTGTCACTCGACAACATATGGCAGTCCTAGATAGTATTGCCAATTCAGTAAAAGCTTTCCGATAATGCTTCAGTAAGATTTCAAGAGCCCAGCCATCAACAACAAATGCCACATCCTGAAAAAAATAATGCAATTGTTTAAAATAATATAATTCTCAAAGGCCTCAACACAGCTATTTTTGACCAGATATGTATCAAAGTATTCCTGCAGTATTAATGTAAGATCATTTAGAGCTCAACTACCTACTCTCAGCAGACCAATATATTCGTCACACTATCCAGGGCCAATCTATATTTTACATCAAGTATTATATCCTTAATTACATTCATCAACAATAACATAACTTTGGTACTCATCACTCAAGTGGCACTAGTTACTAGTCAGCTAGCATTTACATACCTTTTCCATGAGGTCTATTTCAAAGTCATTCAGGAAGAGTGATTCACATTAGATTCAATAAAATATTGAATCAGCAAGGAAGGATCATAAGATCAAAAATGAAGTGAAGAAACAAAGGAATCTGAATTTGAATTTGAAAATAAGTGTATTATACCTTTGGTTCTGAAGTGGTTATCCTCATTGTAAGTAAAACTCTTTCTAAACTCCTGGAAACTTCATCTTCAGTTTTTCCATCAATCAATAGAAGCTGACCTTTTGGCTCTGCAAAGGAAAAAAAAAAAAGTAAAAAGAAATGCAGGAGGTTGAGATGCACACAATTTGATTGTGGGAAAAAAAATGACACATAGATGAATGAAGCAATTAACATCAAGGATATTATTAACATAGGGAATGCAAATAGATCCTCAACTAATGCATGAAAGTCATATAGATCTGTGTGACAGTGCAGACAGATGGATAAAGAGGTTACGGGTAGTTGCAAAATATAATTAATTGAGAAAGCCCATCCTTGTCATACAAAAATTAATGGCTTTTGATGCTTTAGAAAGGAAAAGACACATCAGAAGATTTTAAAACATTTGAACAGAAGGGATACCAATATCATATGAAGAGATGACTAAAAATGAATTATATCTACCTGGTGAAATAAAATTGCATGAAAGGGCAATTTGTATGGCAGTATTCTGCTTGTCTCCAGTTAGCATCCAAAAATTTATTCCTGCTTTTCTAAGTGTCTCAATTGTTTCTGGTACACCATCCTGAAAAATATTTCCAGAAAATGAAGCCAACAGATCTCAGCATCCAAAGCTAGATTTGGATTTTGGTGATCCAATCATAAAAATGTTCACCTGTAGGCGATCCTCTATTGCAGTAACTCCTAGAACTTCAAGATCATGCTCTAATCTTTGGCAGACCTCAGCTATTTTCCACTGCACAAAATAATAGCAGCATTTGCAACTCAGGCATGTAAACCACCAAAGCTTAGCATACATCAGAAAAAAAAAAAAAAATTGTAAAAGACAAGATTATTGAGATGAGATGTACCCTTTACCTCCCTATCAACCAATGTGCTACTAGCCTCTCTAAACATTGAAGACCACTCTTGATATTCATCTTCTTTTAGTTCACGCCAGGCCAAGCATAATGTCCGCAGTCCCAATTGGGCATATTGTTCTACAGCCTCATTAAACGTCCTCGTTTGTTGTCCTAGATCTGGTGATATATTGGTAGATACTCAAGAAAATGAATCAATACCAGAGATCTATAATATGCTTTGTGCTTAATCTATAATATGCTGTGATATATTAGCAGATATTCAAGCGAATGAATCAATAAAAAGACATTTTACAATATGCTTGTGCTTCTTTTCTTTATGCATTGGGGTACCATGCTACGATCTACTAAACATAAAAAATATTACTAGTATTCACCAACTACAAACAGAAACTTTCTTATTTCCATTTGACACTAATAGTCTTACAAGGGTTTCAATGTGTCTGTACTGCCTTGGGAGAGCAATCCATGGTAACTAAAAATAGAGCAATAATAATAATAATAATAATAATACAATATGCAACTAATGCATGTCTGGCAAGCCTTAACGGAATGGAATTTAATGTAATCAAATGACTTTGTAGTGTAACTTGCATTTCATTACAGCTTACCGAATGTAAACTAAAAGAAAAATTCTGGATGAGAAAAGCATAAACCTAGATAAAATTCTGAGCAATTAAAAGAAAAATATCAAGAAGAAAATAAAAAATCCTAACCATCTAAAAATCTGTGGAGATGCTACACCATGGATTGCAAACTAAAAGTTATCATACTAATCACCCAAAGAAGAAAAGACCATTTTCAGATCATGATGGATGCCAAGGAATTGGCAGGCTATGAAGTTCTCAGCCTTAAATGAATTTAACACAAATTACAAATCAATATAACTATTTAACATAAGATATCAGTATCTTAGAACATCAAAGGGTCATGATAAAACTAAATTGTTGCACTGAAGACGACTTAAAAGAATACTATGTGATGGAGAGTTGTCAATGTCAATCAATCAATTGCGAAACTCAAATTTTGAGTAACTTTATCAAAACATTAATAGTCTTTTCTGCTTTCTCTATAGACAAGCAACAACCAGTACACAAGGTTACCTGCAGAAGCATAAGGAAGAATAGCTTCGTCCGCTCCTTTTGACAAAAGGATTACCTTTCCATTTTGGCAATCTCTTACCACTACTGACATCCTTTTCCTGTCAGAAGTGAACTCCAGAGTCTCTAACACTTCATAATGTAATACAGAAGCATTGTATCTGATCTCTGCCAACCATAAAAGGAGCAAAATCTATGTTATCATATTTAGTGTAAGAGCCATTGTGATAACCAAAAGCGCAAACTTTTTACCAAGAATATTTCCATTTTTGCTGACATAAACCATGTGCAAATTAGCAGCAGCTTGAACAAGAGCTTCCTCATCTTGAGACTGTGCTTTGTACAATATTGCTCCAGTTTTACTAAAAGCAAGAGCAGAAAGGTGATACTGTCACGAATCTACCATGGATTGAACTTGACGGCAAAAACATAGCAAAAATCTAAAGAGAAATTTAAAATTTTGAAAAATATCTAAAAGGAGGACACATGAAAGAAAAGGTTAGTCACCTTGGCACAGGAACAACAGTATTACATATTGCCATAACTGTAAGAAACTGAATAACGTCTGGAGACCCACTAGCAATAGCATTGACCAGCTGTGCATCTGTGTGACAAAGGAAAAACTAACTATAAGCTAAATTTCAAGTATCTGCACTACTACTTTCAGCATATGAAAGAAAAAAATATATACCCAAATTGAAAACATATAAATTAGCAATAAGAATCTCAAATATGTTTAATAGATGACGTTTCATATCTGCATAATATCAAGCCCTAACTTAATGGCAAAGTCAAGTCCATATTCAAAATGGGAAACCCTTAGTTTTGACTAGCAAGTTCCTAGCCAATTGGGAAGAAATTGGATGGAAAAAGTATAATTGTTAATAAGAATAGAAATTTTCAAAAATAAAATTTTATAAGTCTTCATGTAATAAATTTACAGGGGAAACTCAACTATATGAAGACATATAAAGTAATTCATCTATAAGAAATGTATCCACGTGTCAAAAAGTATTTGTTATTGTTACTTAATCCAACCTAATATCCGTTTGCAAAATCGAAGTGTAGATAATCAAAGTCCAAAAACCACAAGTGATCATCATCAGGAATTGTTTGATGGTCTTTCTCTAGGAAGAGGCAAAACATAAGAAAGACGAGACAGTCCAAATATATATGTAGAAGACATTTGTGTGTGTGTATGTGTGTGTGAGAGAGAGAGAGAGAGAGAGAGAGACAGAGAGAGAAAGAGAAACCTTTCAACGCATTGCCACTCTCAGTCCCATAGAAAATTCCATTGATACAGCATCTTCTAAAGACCATTCTGTTCTCAGTAAGTGTTCCAGTTTTGTCAGTCAAAATGTACTCAACTTGTCCCAAGTCCTCACTTATTGCTGTGCTGCCACATACAATGAACACCTCTTCAAAACATATTCTAAATAACTTGATTCCCATACTCATTTGAAGAACAGGGTTCTTAGTCAATCTCTCAACTTACTTTGTTGCATGGGATGAACAACCAGTTTCATGATCAATCATCTCAGCATCCCAATCAATAAACTTTGCATATAAGCTTTTCACAAGATCCAAAGATACCTGCAACAGAAAAGGAGTTTAAACATTGTTAGTCCATTAAAACAAAAACTAATATCATTATAAACCATAAATACCAACTAATCATATTTCCTCATCAACACAGATAACATTGAGAAATTTTTATAACCAACACCCAGTAAGACAGTACCATCATAACTTCTTAAACCTTCAATACCCCCATTGTCATATCATCAAAACAACACTGTTGACAATAAAAATTTGATGGCATGGTTTGCAGGCACTTACCTTAATAGAAATGGGTATCATGATGGAACATAGTAACTCGAACCTCAGAGGTATTACCAGTAGTTCATACCATGGACCTTCATTTGGATATAGAACATACCATTGCTGCAAAAGGAGCAAACCAAGAACGCATATGGTTCAAAGTTAACTATTAAAAAATTATGTATCTAAACAACTAATACACGCAATGGTCAATGCACTTTTAAGATAATTAATAAGCTTTCTTGGAAAGAAAAGGCAAGGCTTAGAATTTGAGAATATAAACATTATACATATACTATATGAAAAAAACAAAGCTCAGAAAGAGGAAGGGTATGGGGGAGACTGGGCTCAATATAGAGTCATGACAAAAGTCTCATATCATATTCGTTCACATTAGAAACTGAAGATTAGAAGCCATATGTCAAATCTAAAACCCAATTATCAAATTCAGAGCAAAAAGACTTATTCAGATTCTTTACTTGAAGTTGCTTTGAGATTCTTACAACGGAAAATAAAAGCTATAATGTCATAAAAGATCAAATCTGCAAGGCACATGATTTACCAAACAAAGATATCATATAATGGATTCAACTTAATTATTGCAAAATAATTGTAAGTTGACAGGCACAACAAACCTTTCTTGCTTCTGTATCCTTCCAGACATTCCCAGCTATGCCTAGAACGATAACTACCACTATTTGGAAAACAAATATAGCTCCAGTCAGCTTGTCAATCATGGCATCCATAGCTGTAAGCTTAGGTTCAGGAATACCCCTGCTCATACCCAGCTTAGTTTCATTGCCTGAAAAGTAAAGAGAAAGTATAGAAATTACATAACAATGCCACAGTTATGTCAAGAATATCATGTGGATCACTGGAACTGAAATTATCACCAGGGGGAAAATGCTAAGTAGTCCACCGAAAATAAAATCAGAACTCAGTGATCAAAGAAACCAGGGAGATGAATAATTCAAGAACAAAGCTCATAGCATAAAAGGTACCACAAGTTGAGAAAGTGTTGAAAAAGAGAGAGTTAAGAGCTTGTCATTCAAAAGCCTCATATAATCATCCAAGAACTTCTGCCGACAATGTTGAGGCAGTATGAACAAGTGCAAGTAATATTAGTAAAATAATTTTCATGATAAGACTACATGAAGCTACACGTACAAAGTTAAGTAAATTGACCAATAGGCCCCCTCTATCTTATAAACTCATATCATATGCAGGTAGACATACTAAAAAATAATGCAATACTCACACAAGCCACAAGAGCCAAGGTTAAAATTCTCAATCTATCTTTGTTTACATCCATCCCTCTATTTCAAAACATGCATATGAATTAGTTCTATTTCTATTGCTTAAAAAGTCATATATTTCCCATCTATTTATGTATCATACAACCAATAAATATAAGCACTGTGCATGCACAAAAATGTTTTTATCACTTACAACTCAAGCGTAATAAATAGATAAAGAGAATAAATAAAACAAATGATCATGATCAATGGCCATCACAATTCACAAAATATGACTTGCCTGTGTAGACAGCTACCCCACAAACCCACTCTGTATTTCTCAAGTAACATGACTGAAGAATTGTGTTTTTTATAGTCAAAGGGCAAGTATCATTATCAATAAATGGAGGAAACAAGCGAAGATTTGCATCAAATCTTCTGATGTCCTTATCTGGATTTGGACATTCAATGACACCCTGAGGATGAAAAAATTTTAACAACTCAGGACCAACTAAAATTTGAGGCAAAATACCAAAAAAGTACACATAGTTGTAATTGACTAATCTTAAGGAACCTTACCTTGATTTTGTGCAATAATTCAGAATCTATTCCCATGCAAGCAGAGGGTATTACCCTTGTCTTCAGATCAGTTTCACCATCTAAGGCAGCTGTCTGCAAATTATGTAAAACTGTCAGGATGCCCAAATGCTAAAACAAACAACATCTTCTTGAAGATGAAAGCTACAATCTTTCACCATATTATGAATATCAAAGTTTCCATTCCCTTAGGTTCTTAGGAAGAGCAAAGCCTCCTATTTCTGGAAGAAGGTAGAAAATATGGTGGGAAGTGATAGAGTAAGCAATAGGGGAACAAATTGTAGTACTTGGCCAAAATAGCATGGGCAGGAGAACTTTTACCAATGATATAGGCCAGAATTGTTAGACTTGACATCATACTTTTGCCTAAGTTCAAAACAACCTAGAACATAACATATTAGAAATTCAATATAATTTAGTTATACATGCATAGTCATCATAGCACTAGTCCCACAGCAACATTGTACATCGCATAGTACTTATGAAGAGAATGTCCATCTAAACATAACTTGAGAAAATTATAGCTCCTGGCAGTTAAGAATACTTTTTCAGAATTATTACTTATCCATAGGAGGAACAAAATTATAATGTAAAAAGAGTTCAAACAGAGAAAGGTAAAATACCAGAAGCAGTCTAACTTGTTTGATTGGAATCAAAAGAACTATATTTTGTGAATAAGTAATTGGTACTATAGTGTAGTTTTAATCTACAAAGCCAAGCATTTTAAGCATACAAGAGGTCGCAGCTATGTGGTTAAGCATAAAAGAAAGAATATCTGGTTAGGCAGGTGATGGTCCTCCAGGTATAATACAGACTCTTGTTCTCAAGCTAACTTCACTTAAATGTGTTGTGTCATTCCAAAATTTTTCAAGCCGATCTCCTAATAATGAAATAAATATGCTATCCTAAATGATGGATGTTAACAACAATACAAAGAGCAAGAGGACGATTTCATAAATAACAAGTTATAGTTACAGATTTAACACTGATCGACACAATTGCATATGTACCTCCACATAGCAGACACCTTGAGGATCTGATGTACCAATCAAAACAAGATCACACGGAACTTCATCATTCTCACGAAGCCACACTATATTACCCACATGAATGTCCTGTGCTTGAATCTACAAGTGAATACAATCAAGTTAATCAATAACTAAATATAATGTGCCTTAGCAAAAATACACACATCTCTTTACGTGAGTTTTTTTAACATTTAGGCTCAAAGTCAAACCAACATATAATAGTTTGAAAGATAAAAATAGAGGTCTTCAGTTGGAAATGTGATTACACAAAGCTTTAGCACTACACGACATATACTTTCAATTAACAAAGCCTTTATTTAGATGTCCAGCTTCTATAATCATGCATCTCTACATACTCCAAACTTAATGAATTCAATTTAATTGTTCTTCTAGTAAATTCAGAGCTAGAGCACTTGTATCACTGCAAAAGGAAAGAAAATAAACAATTTCCATACATGTTTTTTGATACCCTGCCTAACAATCCAAACTTCTTTCTCATTGGCCTTCTTGTCCGAGAGATATCTATTGTAATCATCCCAAGCTTCTTTTGATGCTGAGACTGCAAATATAAAAATTAGGGGACCCCATGTACTAGCCGGGTTTACTGGAGTAATAAGTGACCATAGCTGAAGGCAAGCAATCAACAAGAAATACTGATTCATGAACCGGCTGAAAAAATAAAAAAAAAGAAAATATAATTGTTAAGTAAAGCAAATAAAATTTTAAAAAGAATGCATCAACAATTCATTCACTAATTATAAGTTCATAAAAAGGGGTTCCACCTGAACTGCTCCCATAAATTTTTGGGAAGAAAATTCAGTAAGGTATATTTTCTATTTGATATGCGATTGTCACAGTAAAGTTCCTGCGTTGGCGATTCATCATCATTGATATATACAAATCGCTTCATTATTATTGACTAAAATCAAATGATTTACAACGATCAACACATTCCTACAATTTCACCGCTTCACGACCTGCAAAAAGTAGCAACAAATGAATCATAAAATGAAGAAATCAAGGAGAGATTAACGAAAAAATTAGCTAAAAATATCCATAATATACAATTAAAACGGGAAAGCATATTGCCATTTCGACACGAATTCGATTTGAATAAAAAGTCTCAATTCAATTAAGATAGCGAGCGAGATCGTACCTTTTCTTATTTTCAGTTGTATTTGTCGTTGCTTATTTTCATTTTTGTTCCATTTCAGACTTGGTCCTGGTTCTCTGTGCGGTCTCCCTCTCTCTACCTGTTCTTCCTCCTCTCCTCCGTTCGAAGACGAGTTGTGGTTAGCTGGGGGGTTAACACTGTTTGACCTTGTGAGGAAGCGCAACGACACCGTCGGATGCCATAATTAGGAATTAGCAAATTTCTTCCGCAGTGAGTGGCAAAAAGGAACGTTGCACTCTAGATTTAGCCATGTCAGCTGATACCGTGCTGATCTGTCAAACGACAAGGTCTCCCTCCGGTGTGGGGAAAAAAAGTAAAAAAGACATGATAATGGTAATAATAGCCAATCATAGTATCTTACTGATCACACAAAGGTTATTCATATCATAATTATAGTGTTATCATTGCGTGGATACTCGTCCATGGATCGCAATTAAATTTATATTATTTTTTATAAAATTGAAAGCAAATTTATTTAAATTTATAAATTAAATGTTTGTTGATCAAGAAATTATTCTTATGGTGATTTAGAAAAATAGAGCCTCAAACATCAAAATTAGGTACTATATAAAAGTAATTTGAAAATTATGTTTAAGACAATTTTTATAAATCTAGGAATTTGTCAAAATTTATGACATTAAATTTATATATTCATAAAATTTATTTGGTTTGATAATGATATTCAGGCAAATCAATAGAATTTTGAAAATTTTAAATTGTTGAAAATCACTTATTTTTAAGCCCAATGGCTTCTAGTTGCAAATACATTCATCCACAAGCCCAGAGTCATAACCATAGCCAAACTGGGTTAAAAAGCCTAAACTTATTTTTATGGCCCATTTCGTTGCAGGGTTAAATTAATGAAGCATGGGTCGGCCCATTTAATCGCAGAGTTAGAAAAAAAATAAATAAATAAAAAGGCATGGAATCGTGACTTGTGACTTGTGATGTGAGGTAGCAATGGCCGCCAAATATAAAAAGAATTTTCTTGCGTTGCCATGACAGGCTAATGACGCGTGGACAGGTGCACTTATCGCGGTTATGGGCTTCACAACTGAACATAGGGTACTCAAAATTCGGAATCGCGGCGGCGTAGTTTTTAGTAGCTTTATAGCTTCGTCACGTCACGAAAAATAAAATATTGGCGGCTTCTCTCCGCCGGACACACCAAAAGGCAACAATAGTCGCCACTTCACGTGCCGTCACTGCTCCTCGGTGCCTCTGGCCATGTTTTTCTATGCCCACGCGCGAGTATGTTAAATCCAGTCCAGTGCATGGATGACGTGTTCCCATATTGAAATGAGACAAGAAGCTGAAGCGAAATTGACTCCATAGATTACGCCGACGCAGACTGCTCGCCGGCCAAAGCGGCTCCCTTCTCCTCCTCGTCCGCTGCGTGCGGGGCCTCTAAGTCTCCAACAAACAGCGTCAATTTTTTATTATTCCCTCAGATCTGTTTTTATTCTTTGCTCTCACATCAGGATTTAAATTAGACGGCAGACTCAGGCCAGCCGTCGACTCAACATGTACCCTCCATTCAACACGGAACTCGTATTTTATTATTAAAATTTACTTTGTTACTTAATTAAATTAATATTTCTACTTTAATAATATTATTAACAATTATTAAGATTTACACAAAGATGAAGAAATATTAGCAATGGCTATTTCATTAAATTTAAAAACAATAATTAAATGGAAAAAAATCTGTGGATATGAGATTATTACAAAAAGAAACAACTCAAAAGAGAAATTATTATTATTTCTCTCAGTTGCAAAAAGAACTTGATCCTAATTCCTAACTTATGATTTACATTTTAATCTAATGATAATTAAGAGCATTTGTTAATCCTGATAAAATTATTTGCCTGACAAAAATATTTAATATAAGGAGTTAAAAAAAAAAATTCAAGCTTCTTCCTCCTCTGATGGAAGAAGATTTAGATCGAAATCCCTTGCTGGTTTTCCATCCACGACAGACGACGAGTCCGAGTCACTCTGAGTTCCTCCACTCATTAATCCATCATTGAACTCAACCCCCACTGGCTCAAACCGAACAGGGAATCGGTGAGTCACAAATTCGGGCCTAATATTTCCGTCCAAAAACCAAATCGTACCCACTGCTTTCTGCTGCTGATAAACAAACGGAAACCTTTCCATAAGATCGCGTGAGAGCTCACGCGCTGCCGGTGGACTCGAGGACTCAACTGTGCTACTCTGGCTAGGACTCTGGTTATCAGTATAGTTAACGACCTTGGTGTTAATTGGTGTTATTTCGCTTGGAGGGGGAAAGTTAGTCTTGGCCTTAGAACCGCGGAACTCACGCGCCGCCTTGTCATAGGCTCTTGCTGCTTCTTCAGCCGTGTCAAAAGTGCCTAACCAGACCCGGCTCTTCTTTCCCGGATCCCGTATCTCGGCAGCGTAACGACCCCACGGCCTCTTTCTGACTCCTCTGTAATGCATCTCCTTCTTATCATTATAGCCGCTACTTTTCTTGAGATCAGTGGCAGCGTTGCTCTTCTCTTTGGGAGCCATTTTTCATGAATGGTTATATGGATACTCTTTATAAGTTAATTAGCAACGGTTGTGCTGTGTGCGGTGGCTGTGAGATGAGATTGGGGCGGTGACGAATTTTATAGAAGGGGAAGAAGAGGAGTGAGAGAAATGGTGGGTCCAGTCAGCAAGGGGTTTGACTGAGTGCGCCGCCCTAACGACGATACGTGGCACGAAGTAATTTCGAGACAAGCGGCATTTGCTGCCGGCTTTGGCGTAAACGGTGACCGTTAATTCACGGCTTGACTTTTTTTCCACGCTTTACTTCAAAGCGTGAATTCAACTTTCATTAGCTACCTCGTTTAAAAAATAAAATCATTGAATTCACATTAATGAAGGCTAAATTGTAAAAATCATCAATAATGTGAGAAATATTAAAATTCATATATGGAGCGTGCTTATACGCTCTCCCACGGAGAATGGGCATATGAGCAAATTTTAATGGTTCAGATAAAGACCAATTCTAACGACTAACGACAGTCCCATCATTATCCACCGCATCGTCGTCCATCTCCCTTTGTGTTCTGCTTTTCAACAGACAACAGCTATGTTGAACCAACAGTTAAATAAGAAAGAGAGAGAATAAAGGCTTGCCAATATAAAAGGGACACGCGTCATTGTCTTGTGCTTGACGCGTCTTCAATATCAACAGTCACATAGTAGTAGCAACTGACTGGCGACAATAGCCGTGTTGTGCCTGTCAATTTTATTTTTGTTTTTATTTTTATTTTCTTTTTTCGTTGTTGCCATGCAATCTCCTGTTTGCTGACCGTACGTTTTGCACGTACTAGAGGCGCTTCTTAAAATTTCCACGCTCCTAAAATTCTCGTGATGTTTAAAGTTTAAATGATGGGCTGTGTCAAGACTTACTACATACGGATCGTTGTCGTAATTAATGGGCCTGTTTCGACCCATATATTTTGTTTAATGGGCCACTGTGTACTTGTCTAGTTGTCTACAATTTATAAAATATATTTTTACTTAAATAAAAATTTAAATTCTACAGAATTCAAATCAAGTTATTTCTTTGAATTACAAAAAACTCAAATAATTAAACTGATCAATTTTTTTAAAGGTTTAATTGTTAAATCATAGTTTTCCCTTTTTTGTAAAAAAAAAAATCAAAATAACAACATAATATTTGAACAAACAAACGTTTATAAATAAAAAAGAATATTAAATAATATACATTCTTAACTTATATAAAATAATAAACCTGTTTCATTAAATAAAAAAGAATATTAAATAATATACATTCTTAACTTATATAAAATAATAAACCTGTTTCATGTTTTTTTTATGAAAAACAAAATTTTCAGAAATTAAATTTACAAAAATGATTTTGTTTTTAACATTGTTATAATGATTAGAATTATTTTTCAATGGTAACTTTCTACATATTAAATATGAATGACTAAAGATATTAGATCTTTTATCTATTATTTCATCTAACGGTTAAATTTTAAATAGTGCGGTTAAATTTTAAATAGTGCAATCTAATGGCTACTATTCGTTTGCTATTGATACAAGTCTTACCCTCATAGGTCATCACATCACAATCTGTGTAGAAAAAAAATGTGTCTAGGGTCGAAAAAATTTTAATTATTTATTAATTATTTTCTAGTGAAAAAACATCCAGATATTAAATTTATTAGGTATTTATTTGAATATATGGATTAAATTTCACGAAATTTTTAGAAGATGGAATCCATTGAAACCGGTTTGTTAATTTAATCCTTAATAGAAATTGTAAGAGATTATTGAGGGTTAAATGGTCTTTTCGGACTTTGCAACAAATTTATTAAGCGTAACACGTGGTTCTCACCTCTGAAAAAAATTCCTATAGCAAGCTCAGCTCAGCAGAGGCCAGAAGGAGGAGAGATGGAGAATGGAATAGCAAGCTCAGCTCAGCAGAGGCCAGAAGGAGGAGAGATGGAGAATGGATCAAAGAAATGGTGTTTTCAGGCAGACAAAGGCCTCATTGCAGCGTCATCGATAACCGTTCGTGGTGTTCTGAACACTATAATGGCTAATCTGAACAAAGAAGACGATAGACCAGTCATTCCTCTCGGCCATGGCGACCCTTCTTCTTTCCCATGCTTTCATACCGCTTCTACGGCTGTAGATGCTATTATCGAGGCTGTAAATTCGGCCAAATATAACTGCTATTCTCCAACTGTTGGTATTCTTCCTGCTAGAAGGTACAATAACTTCTCCAAAATATCAACTTTCTTCTTTTTTTTTTTTCTCTAAATTATTATAATTTCATTTATTGTTTGGAAGTATGCAAGCTCTCTTTCCTTTAAGTATTTATCATATACCACGCAACCATAATTTCTTACTGAAACATAACTTAGTTTTGAAAATATAATATCAAAAATTAGTTAAAAATATTATTTTTAATTTAAAAATATACATGTCATTAAAAGGAAAATCTCATCTTTTAAATGAGGAAATCATTTTCCTTTTGATGGAAAAAAAAATCTTCTACTATTGTTTTTTAAAGCATTTGGTTTTAATCACATATATCCTCGGTCTTCGTGTTATAATTAATTTTTTCTTTTTTAGTTTATTAAGAGTGTTCTCTCACATCCCACTTAACGGTTAAACAAGAGATTAATTCCCTTTTGGGTCAAGAAGCTATTATGTTTCGAAATCCTCTCCAAGCTGCCGACTCCATGACTCGGTCGTTGCGATCATCAGGACTAGAATTAAATTATTAATGAATAATAATAATGATATTATTATTTGGAGGTTAGTTGGAGTTGTGTGTGAATATGATTTGCGCACTCAATTTATATTACTATTTTATTGTTACAACTTGATCTTTGTTATTTGTAGTTTATTTATTAGGTGCACTTGAGCTGTTTCTTTTGGCTTTAAATGCCTTGAGGTAGATACCTTGCAGTATAATACATGTGTTTCAAGAGCACACGGGAGTTTTACAGCAACTTTCAAAAAAATTGCAGAAACCTGGGCCTCATTTTTGTCCAGGATGTGCTATTCTTTTGGAAGTAACGGGAGATACTATCTAGGAATAAGATTCCTCGTTTTTTTTTTTTTTTTTTTTTTTAAAGATTCCTCGTTTTTTTTTTTTTTTTTTTTTTTTTTTTTTTTTTTCTATGGTCATTCTTTTAACAAAAATTTCCATTTTCATTGATTTATTCGATGTATATGCTCTATATGGGTTCGGTATATGCAAATCAATCCTAAAATTTATGTATTTAGTTATGCAAATTAATCATTTATAGACTAAACCAATGAAAAATAAAAAACATTTTGAATATAATCTCTATTTTTTCTGCATAGTTTTCAATGAAAATTTATATTTTCATTGGTTTCGTCCGTATATATCCTACATATAGACACAGTTTATATAAGTAAATAACAAAATTTACATTAATATGGTATGCAAATTAAATTTTCTCACCTAGATCGGATTCATTACTTAACCGATGTTTTAGACTTATGAAAATAAAAATTTTTATAGAAAGAAAGATATTTCTAACCGTATCAAAAAAAAAAAAAAAAAAGAATATGTGAAGTTAAGAATAAATTTAAAAAATTTTATATTTTCATTGTTTTAGTCTGTCAAGGCGAGTAAATTCCGTTCAATTTTTTTAGAAGTAATGGTTATGGAACGATTTGGAAGATGCATTAATTATTAATATTTTTCAGATAATATAACAGAGAATGCACTGCCTTCTTTAAAAAGTTAGTGTATAGAGGCAGTAGAAGACTGCATTTAAAGTATAAAAATTAACAATAATAAAAATAAAATATAAAAAAAAGACTTTTTTAACTTACACAAAACTTGATTAAACAATTCTACGGAAATTTGGACAACGTTTCTTTATTTTCTTATTGTGTTTTTTTTTGAGCTTCCAACATTGGGCTTATTGCAGATTACCTTAATCGTGATTTCTTCCATACAAGCTAATCGCCAGATTATTGTTTTTTGTTACTCGGGGCATCCACAGCTATTGAAATCACGATTTAATTCAGGTTTTGGATAGAGCCGCTAACATTTATGCTACCAAAACCAGGATTCCCATTACTATTAAAGCTATTGCTGGACGTAATAATAATGAATTTGCCTTTTGATCTTTTACCTGATAAGGGCTGGGGAGGTTTGATCTCGAGGCTGTTGAGTCTCTGGCAGATTTGAGAATACTGCTGCTATGCTTATAATAAACCCTGAAATCCTTGTGGACAATGTCTACAGATATGAACACTTGAAGAAAGTGGGTGAAAATTCTCTGATTTCTTTTGTTATACACCCTGACATATCAAATCATAATGTGGTGAGCTGCAACGTTTCATATTTGTTGTTTCCTTTGTCTAGATTGTTAGATTGCAGAAACAGCTAGAGAGCTTGGAATTATGGTGATTGCTGACGAAGTATATGGGCATCTTACATTTGGGAGTACTCCATTTGTTCCAATGGGAGTTTTTGGATCAATTGTGCCTGTTCTTTCACTTGGATCCATATCGAAGAGATGGATCGTTCCTGGCTGGAGAATTGGTTGGCTTGTTGTTAGTGATCCTAATGACATTCTTCGAAAATATGGGGTTGGCACTTCTCTCTCTCTCTCTCTTCATGGAAGGATTATGAATATTCTTCTATTGTCATGTCAATTCAGGTTTTATTTTAACAATTTCTTTTTTCTGTTTGTCTTAGGTTGTTAATTCAATAATTAGCTATCTCAACATCTCATCTGATCCTGCAACATTCATTCAGGTTTGTTATTAATGATGCTCTTCCTAAATTTAAAAAAAAAAAAAAATTTCCTGTCAAAACAATCTTGGATGTCTATCAGGGTGCAATTCCAGAAATCCTGGAGAATACAAATGAGGATTTCTTTCTGAAAATTCTCAACTTACTGAGAGAGGCTGTAGACATATGCTGCGACGGAATGCAAAAAAAAAAAAAATTTCCTGTCAAAACAATCTTGGATGTCTATCAGGGTGCAATTCCAGAAATCCTGGAGAATACAAATGAGGATTTCTTTCTGAAAATTCTCAACTTACTGAGAGAGGCTGTAGACATATGCTGCGACGGAATGCAGGATATTCCTTGCATTACTTGCCCGAATAGACCACAAGGTTCTATGTTTGTAATGGTGAGGCATCAAATATCATATATATAAATTCCATTTCTCCAAAAGAAGATAATCCTTAACTAGAAAACTCATTACAGGCAAAATTGAACTTGTCACTATTGGAAGGCATTAAGGACGACATGGACTTCTGTCTCAAGCTTGCTAAGGAGGAATCAGTCATAGTTCTACCAGGTAAAAATGGCGGATAGCTTAAATAGACAGTTGACATTGATACTTATAACATTTTGTGATCTTATTTGCAGGAATATGTGTGGGAATGAAAAATTGGCTTCGCATATCTTTTGCCATTGAGCCTTCAACTCTTGAAGTTGGCTTTCGGAGAATAAAAGATTTCTGTGAAAGGCATGCCAAGAAGCCGTGAGGACATGCATGCCATTGATCCTCGTCAATAAACGGATTTCCTTCTTAAAGATCAACAACTCCGCGTTGGATCTCGAGGGTAAGTGCCATTAGATGTCTATTCTATCATCAAGGATCTAATTCTAGGTTGGATCCTTTTGGTAATTAGTAAGTTGTTGTTTGTTCAAGCACATAATCTCCATAATGGATGAGAGTATGTAATTCAGATAATGGAAGTCCTTGAACTATGTTAGATGTTGTTGGTAAATCTACCAGTAAAATTTCTGAACTTTTTTATAAGAGCTCCAAATCTGTCTTAATTTTGTGTTTTCACATTTATTCATTTTTGCCAGCACCATTGTGTATCATAGTGGTAGGAGAATAAACATGAACTTTAACTAAAACGTGGCATATATGACCCGACAATAAATACAAGTTCGAATTTCCCTCTCCAATATTAACAAACAAAAAAAATAAAACAAATCGTTTCCCCTCTCCAATACTAAAAAAAAAAACTAAAATGTTTTGTCGTTGCAATTTGATCATAAAATCCTTATTATTTTTGAATAATCATGTGCAAATCAAAGCTAATTAAGTGGTGTAGATTGGCAATAAAATCTAGAATCAAAATTAAGTGATTTAAATTTCATCATTAATAAAAAATTCATTTATCTCTCGTCCAAAATAATTTATTTTCGACAAATTTTACTTAAAAATGTGTACATCTCACTTTAATATACAAGTAAGCAAGGTACTAACTAATTGGATAAAAAATCAGTTGCTATCTATCAACAACAGCCAAAGCGGGAAGGAAAAACTTCTGCAGAGATCAAAGACGTCAAGGCAGAGCAAATTTGGCCTTCTCTAGAAAATTTCTTTGGCTTAAACAAGTGGTTTCCAACCCTCGCAACTTGTCTTCCTGTTGTAAGACATCTCCGCTCAACCTGGATGTGTCCGTTACTGCTGGTTCTAAAACACCAAAGAGTAACAGGTTGCAATGCTGACCAGATAAAGATGACTTTAGTTACTGCTAACACGTTCTTCATTATTGAAAGAAACTCATTTCACCCAACACTTCAATACTAATAGAGAGGCATAAATCCTCAGATTTAGTGAAATGCAGGACAAAGACTTGGTCATTGGCTCACCAAATAGAAAAGTTAAAGCTTTCAGTCAGAGCTTGTTGCCAAACTATAAGCAGGGATTTTAGCTAGCCTTTGCGTCTTCATGCCTACTCTCACCCTCTCAACTTCTTGCCATAAAGCTTTACTAGCGTATATATTAGATAAAACCACAAAACCCCCGTCATTCCAAGGTTCTAACTCCTGCAACCCATTCCCCCATCTTCACATCCCCATATTTCTCACAGGCACCCATCAAACACCCCCATATCACCACATTCGGCTTCATTGACATCCCCTCCACAATCTCTCTAGCCTCTTCAAGTAGCCCTACTCGGCCAAGCAGATCCACCATGCATCCATAGTGTTTTATCTCTGGCATTTTACCATAAGCATTCCTCATCATATCAAAAAAATACTTCCCCTCTTTTACTTTACAGCCATGGACACAGGCACTTAGCACTCTTGTAAAGGTGACCTGGTTAGGTCTCACTCCAGCTTCTCTCATGCAGTGAAAGCATTCAATCGCTTCATCGACATAACCATGCATTGCAAAACCTACGATCATTGATGTCCAAGATGAAATCTTTGAGCCCATGATCTGTTTTCTTTTTCTAGAAATGCCAGAGAAATTGGAATGCATGTTTCTTTAAAATTATGAAGTCTGCCCTTCCATCAGTAAATAAATCCAACACAGGAGATGAAAAGATGCAGAAGATTGCAAAGCATGATTCTAACTTCAGCCAGAGAAAAACCAGTAAAGAAGAATATGACACTTTCTCAGAGAGATGCTACAGAGGAAGCAAAACAAATACCAAGCAAATTAAAGAACTATCTCGAGCACGTGGCAGATTTTTTTTCCATAGAAAAGCAAAATCGAAGGTAAGTTATGCACATAAACATAAAGAAAATAGAGAAATTCGGGACACCATCTTAAATCAGCAATTCATTAGCTACCTCTTTTAAAAAATAAAATCATTGTTCACATTAATGAAGGCTATATTGCAAAATCATCAATAATGTGAGAAATATTAAAATTCATATATGGAGCGTGCATATACGCTCTCCCACGGAGAACGGGCATATGTGCAAGTTCTAATGGTTCAGATAAAGACCAATTCTAACGACTAACGACTAACGACAGTCGCATCATTATCCACCGCATCGTCGTCCATCTCTCTTTGTGTCTCTCCTTTTCAATAGCTCTGTTGAGCCGACAGTTAAATAAGAAAGAGAGAGAATAAAGGCTAACCAATACAAAACGGACACGCGTCATTGTCTTGTGCTTGACGCGTCTTCAATATCAACAGTCACATAGTAGAAGCAACTGACTGGCAACAATACCCGCGTTGTGCCTGTCAATTTTATTTTTGTTTTTATTTTCTATTTTCGTTGTTTCCATCTCCATGCAATCTCCTTTTTGCTGACCGTACGTTTTATCCACGTAATAGAGGCGCTTCTTAAAATTCCATGCTCCTAAAATTCGCGTGAAGTCTAAAGTTTAAATGATGGGCTGTGTCAAGACTTACTACATACGGATCATTGTTGTATATAATGGGCCTGTCTCGACCCATATATTTTGTCCAATGGGCCACTGTGTACTTGTCTAGTTGTCTACAATTTATAAAATATATTTTTACTTAAAAAAAAAAATTAAAATTCTACAGAATTCAAATCAACTTATTTCTTTGAATTATAAAAAACTCAAAAAATTAAACTCATTAAAATTGTTTTTGAAAGGTTTAATTGTTAAATCATAGTTTTCATTTCTAGCGCAAGAGTGGCGAAGGGTCAACTTATTTTCTTTGATTATAAAAAACTCAAAAAATTAAACTCACCTCTCCAAACTTGTTTTTTTGTGAGAGGTTTAATGTTTCTCTAGTAGTTTCCCTTCAGTTTTTTGATTAAAAAAAAAATCAAAAACAACCAAAATAAACAACATAATATCTTGAAACAAAAACAATACGTATTTGAATATTATAAATAAAAAAAAAAGAATATTATACATATACATTCTTAACTTATATAAAAAATAATAAAACCTGGGTTTATTTTTTTATGAAAGAGAAATTAAAATGTTTCAGAAATTAAAATGACAAAAATGATTTTGTTTTAACATTGTCTTAATAATTATATTAGGACAATTATTTTTTCAAATAGTAAAACTTTCCTAACATATTAAATATGAATGCTCACTCTCTCTTTTATCGTGATGTGGTTCATCTATTGCGTTAGAGATTTATAAAATAGTGCAATCTAATGGCTACTATTCGTTTGCTATTGATACAAGGTACTTACCCTCATAGGTTCATCACATCACAATCTGTGTAGAAAAAAAAATCTTGTCCTTGTGGGGTAGAAAATTATTTAATTATTTAATTAATTATTTTTGTTGAAAAAAACATCAGATATTAAATTTATTAGGTATTTAATTTGAATATATGGATTTAAATTTCACGACTTTTTTAGAAGATGGGAATCCATTGAAACCGGTTTGTTTATTTAATTCCTTAATAGAAATTAAGAGATTATTGAGGTTAAATGGTCTTTTCGACCTTTGCAACAAATTATTAAGGCGTAACACGTGGTTTTCTCACTCTGAAAGATGTTCCCATTAGGGCAAGCTCAGCTCGGCATGAGGCCCGCGTCAGTAAGGCGAGGAGAGGATGGAGAATGGCATCAAGGAAATGGTGTTTTCAGGCAGACAAAAAATGGCTCTCATTGCAGCGTGCTAGTACAAATAACCGCTCTCTGGTCTCTGACACAACTATAATGCTAATCCTAACAAGAAGCGATAGACCAGGTCATTTCGTCTGGCCTTGGCGACCCCTTTTCCCTCCATGGCTTCATACCGCTTCCACGGGCTGTAGATGCTATTATCGAGGCTGTAAATTCGGCCAAATATAAGCGCTATTTCTCCAATGTTCGGCTGATTTCTTCCCTGCTAGAAGGTCACAATAACTTCACGGCTGTAGATGCTATTATCGAGGCTGTAAATTCGGCCAAATATAACTGCTATTCTCCAACTGTTGGTATTCTTCCTGCTAGAAGGTACAATAACTTCTCCAAAATATCAACTTTCCTCTTTTCTTTTTTTTTTTTTCTCAATTATTATAATTTTATTTATTGTTTGGAAGTATGCGAGCTCTCTTTCCTTTAAGTATTTCTCATATACCACGCAACCATAATTTCTTACTGAAACATAACTCAGTTTTGAAAATATAATATCAAAAATTAGTTAAAAATATTATTTTTAATTTCTCATATGCCGTGCTAGAATTAATTTTTTCTTACATCTCAATTTAACGATTAAACGATTAAACGAGAGATTAATCTTTTTTGCATCAGAGAGCTATTATGTTTCGAAATTCTCCCCAAATGCCGGCTCTATAACTCCAGCGTGCGATCATCAGGATTAGAATTAAATTATTAATGAATAATAATAATGATATTATTATTTGGAGATTAGTTGGGGTTGTGTGTTAACATGTTTTGCGCACTCAATTTATATTACTATTTTATTGTGGTGACATTTGCTGCTACAACTTCATATTTGTTATTTGTAGTTTATTTATTAGGTGCACTTAAGCTGTTTCTTTTGGCTTTAAATGTCTTGAGGTAGATACCTTGCAATATAGTACATGTGTTTCAAGTGCACACAGGAGTTTTAAGCAACTTTCAAAAGAATTGCAGAGACCTGGGCCTCATTTTTGTCCAGGATGTGCTATTCTTTTGGAAGTAACTGGAGATACTTTCTAGGAATAAGATTCCTCTTTTTTTTTTTTTTAATTTTCTATGGCCATTCTTTTAACAAAAATTTCCATTTTCATTGATTTATTCGATGTATGTGCTGTATATGGGTTCAGTATATGCAAATCAATCCTAAAATTTATGTATTTAGTTATGCAAATTAATCATTTATAGACTAAACCAATGAAAAATAAAAACATTTTGAATATAATCTCTATTTTTTCTGCATAGTTTTCAATCAAAATTTATATTTTCATTAGTTTCGTCCATATATATCCTATATATAGACACAGTCTATATAAGTAAATAACAAAATTTACATTAATATGGTATGCAAATTAATTTGTCTTATCGGATTCATTACTTAACCGATGTGTTAGACTTATGAAAATAAAAATTTTTATAGAAAGAAAGATATTTCTAACCGTATCAAAAAAAAAAAAAAAAGGAAAAAAAAAACAAAAAGGATGAAGGTAAGATTAATTTTTTAAAAATTTTATTATTTTCAGTTGTTTTTAGTCTTGTTCAAGTGCGATAAATTCCTTAATTTTTTTAGAAGTAATGGTTATGCACGATGGAAGATGTCATTTAATTAGGTAAATATTTCAGATAACTACTAACTTAAGAATGCTACTGGACCTCTTTAAAACGCTCAGTGTAGAGGCCTAGAATGACTTACTTTAAAGTTAACAATAACAATAATTAGAAAAAAAAAAAACAAAAAAAGACTTTTCTAAACTTACACAAACACTTTGATAAAAACAATCCTACGGAAAATTTTGGAACAACCGTTATCTTATTCTTCTTTTATTTGATGTTTTTTTTGGAGCCATCCAACAGGGCTATTGCAGATTACCTAATCGTTGATCTTCCATACAAGCTTATCGCAGATGATGTTTTTGTTAGCTGGAATGCAAAACAAAGTCTCTTGATAATCACGCATTATCAGTTCTTGGACGACCTGGGGCTAACATTTGCTAACCAAAAAACCAGGATTCCTCTACTCTCTCGCGCTATATTGTGGGACATAATAATATTGAGGTTCGCCATTTGATCTTTTACTAATAATGGGCTGGAGGTTGTTGATCTCGATGCTGTTGAGTCTGGCTGGCAGATGAGAATACTGTGCTATGCCTTATACATAAACCATGAAAACTCCCTTAGTGGAAAATGTCCTACAGATCTATGAATACACTGAGAGAAAGTGGGGTTGGAAATTCTTGATTTTTGTCTCTCGTTTAAGCATATCTTACGGCGTGCAGACCCACTATCCAAATCATAATTGGTGAGCGTGCAACGTTCATATTTGGTGTTTCTTATTAGATTTGCAGAAACAGCTAGGAGAGCTTGGTTAGATTGCAGAAACAGCTAGAGAGCTTGGAATTATGGTGATTGCTGACGAAGTATATGGGCATCTTACATTTGGGAGTACTCCATTTGTTCCAATGGGAGTTTTTGGATCAATCGTGCCTGTTCTTTCACTTGGATCCATATCGAAGAGATGGATCGTTCCTGGCTGGAGAATTGGTTGGCTTGTTGTTAGTGATCCTAATGGCATTCTTCAAAAATATGGGGTTGGTACTTCTTTCTCTCTGTTCATGGAAGGATTATGAATATTCTTCTATTGTCATGTCAATTCAGGTTTTATTTTAACAATTTCTTTTTTCTGTTTGTCTTAGGTTGTTAATTCAATAATTAGCTATCTCAACATCTCATCTGATCCTGCAACATTCATTCAGGTTTGTGATTAATGATGCTCTTCCTAAATTTAAAAAAAAATTTCCTGTTTCAAAAACAATCTTGGATGTCGTATCAGGGTGCCAATCCAGAATCCTTGGAGAATACAAATGAGGATTTCTTTCTGGACAAATTCTCAACTACTGAGAGAGGCTGTAGGACATATGCTGCGACGGAATGCAGGATTATTTCTTTTGCAAAAAAAAAAAAAATTTCCTGTCAAAACAATCTTGGATGTCTATCAGGGTGCAATTCCAGAAATCCTGGAGAATACAAATGAGGATTTCTTTCTGAAAATTCTCAACTTACTGAGAGAGGCTGTAGACATATGCTGCGACGGAATGCAGGATATTCCTTGCATTACTTGCCCGAATAGACCACAAGGTTCTATGTTTGTAATGGTGAGGCATCAAATATCATATATATAAATTCCATTTCTCCAAAAGAAGATAATCCTTAACTAGAAAACTCATTACAGGCAAAATTGAACTTGTCACTATTGGAAGGCATTAAGGACGACATGGACTTCTGTCTCAAGCTTGCTAAGGAGGAATCAGTCATAGTTCTACCAGGTAAAAATGGCGGATAGCTTAAATAGACAGTTGACATTGATACTTATAACATTTTGTGATCTTATTTGCAGGAATATGTGTGGGAATGAAAAATTGGCTTCGCATATCTTTTGCCATTGAGCCTTCAACTCTTGAAGTTGGCTTTCGGAGAATAAAAGATTTCTGTGAAAGGCATGCCAAGAAGCCATTAGGACATGCATGCCATTGATCCTCGTCAATAAACGGATTTCCTTCTTAAAGATCAACAACTCCGCGTTGGATCTCGAGGGTAAGTGCCATTAGATGTCTATTCTATCATCAAGGATCCCTTTGGTAATTAGTAAGTTGTTGTTTGTTCAAGCACATAATCTTCATAATGGATCAGAGTATGTAATTCAGATAATGGAAGTCCTTGACTACGTTAGATGTTGTTGGAAAATCTACCAGTAAAATTTCTGAACTTTTTTATAAGAGCTCCAAATCTGTCTTAATTTTGTATTTTCACATTAATTCATTTTTGCCAGCAACATTGTGTATCATAGCCGTAGGAGCATAGACATGAACTTTAACTAAAACGTGGCATATATGAACTGACAAGAAATACAAGTTCGAATTTCCCTCTTCAATATTAACAAACAAAAAAAAAAAAACAAAACGTTTCCCCCTCTCCGATACTAAAAAAAAACTAAAATGTTTTGTCGTTGCAATTTGATCATAAAATCCTTATTATTTTTGAATAATCATGTGCAAATCAAAGCTAATTAAGTGGTGTAGATTGGCAATAAAATCTAGAATCAAAATTAAGTGATTTAAATTTCATCATTAATAAAAAATTCATTTATCTCTCCTCTAAAATAATTTATTTTCGACAAATTTTACTTAAAAATGTGTACATCTAACTTTAATATACAAGTAAGCAAGGTACAACTAATTGGATAAAAAATCAATGGCTATCTATCAACAACAGCCAAAGCGGGAAGGAAAAACTTCTGCAGAGATCAAAGACGTCAAGGCAGAGCAAATTTGGCCTTCTCTAGAAAATTTCTTTGGCTTAAACAAGTGGTTTCCAACCCTCGCAACTTGTCTTCCTGTTGTAAGACGTCTCTGCTCAACCTGGATGTGTCCGTTACTGCTGGTTCTAAAACACCAAAGAGTAACAGGTTGCAATGCTGACCAGATAAAGATGACTTTAGTTACTGCTAACACGTTCTTCATTATTGAAAGAAACTCATTTCACCCAACACTTCAATACTAATAGAGAAGCATAAATCCTCAGATTTAGTGAAATTCAGGACAAAGAATTGGTCATTGCCTCACCAAATAGAAAAGTTAAAACTTTCAGTCAGTGCTTGTTGCCAAACTATAAGCAGGGATTTTAGCTAGCCTTTGCATCTTCATGCCTACTCTCACCCTCTCAACTTCTTGCCAGAAACCTTTACTAGCGTATATATTAGATAAAACCACAAAACCCCCTTCATTCCAAGGTTCTAACTCCTGCAAATGCTTGGCAACCCATTCCCCCATCTTCACATCCCCATATTTCTCACAGGCACCCATCAAACACCCCCATATCACCACGTTCGGCTTCATTGGCATCCCCTCCACAATCTCTCTAGCCTCTTCAAGTAGCCCTACTCGGCCAAGCAGATCCACCATGCATCCATAGTGTTTTATCTCTGGCATTATATCATAAGCATTCCTCATCATATCAAAAAAATACTTCCCCTCTTTTACTTTACCCCCATGGACACATGCACTTAGCACTCCTGTAAAGGTGACATGGTTAGGTCTCACTCCAGCTTCTCTCATGCAGTGAAAGCATTCAATCGCTTCATCGACATTACCATGCATTGCAAAACCTACTATCATTGATGTCCAAGATGAAACATTTTTTTGCTCCATGCTTGAAAACACCCTACCCGCTAAGTCCATTCTACCACATTTTCCATACATGTCAACAAGCGAATTCAGCATCAAAATATCAGGTTTCTCAAAATTCTTGGCATGAAAAACATATTTATGTAACTGAAAAGCCAAGTTCAGATCCCCCAAACTCCCACAAGCTGACGCCACACTAACCATGGTGACACCATCTGGCTTAAAGCCGCATTTCCTCATTTTTATAAACATCTCAATCGCTTCCATGGCCCGCCCACCTTGACTAAGGCCACTTATAATAGCATTCCAAGAACCTAACTTTCTATCAGGATTTTCCTCAAACAATTTACAGGCATTCCCAAAATCACCCGACTTCAAATACAGACTAATAAAACCGCTCTCACAATACTCATTTAACTCAAGTCCAAGCCTTAAAGCAACAGCATGAAACTGCCTACCGATCTCAATAGCGAAATACTGACAGGCAGCTTTTAAGATAATGGGAAGAGTATAAGAGTCGGGCAAGATACCAGATCGAGACATGCATATATAGACTTTCAACGCTTTTATAGGTGCATCCAGTCTGGTATAAGCTCTTATTATGTTGTTCCAATGAAATGGAGCTGGATAAAAGTACAGCAGTCGGCTGCGGATAATAATGGCGTAAATTTGGTTTAATTCCTGTAAGTTCACGCAGTTTGACAACTGGCTTGCTATGGCTTCGACTCGGTCTTGTGTTAAATATTGTGATGATTGTGCGGTTATTAGAGTTTGAGCAACCGAAGGTATAGCGTTTAAAGCAAGACTGTGTTTCAGTATTGAGTGTTTGGCGAAGCGAGGAAGAAGAAGAAGACCGTGTACGGAATTCATGTGTACAGTAATCAAATGTTTGAGTTTTCGGCTTCATATAAATTTGCCTAAATGGGCCAAGCCCAATAAATATTATACAAAGCCCACTCAAACATCTTTTTCGCAGTGAAATCTTTGAGCCCATGATCTGTTTTCTTTTTCTAGAAATGCCAGAGAAATTGGAATGCATGTTTCTTTAAAATTATGAAGTCTGCCCTTCCATCAGTAAATAAATCCAACACAGGAGATGAAAAGATGCAGAAGATTGCAAAGCATGATTCTAACTTCAGCCAGAGAAAAACCAGTAAAGAAGAATATGACACTTTCTTAGAGAGATGCTACAGAGGAAGCAAAACAAATACCAAGCAAATTGAAGAACTATCTCGAGCGCGTGGCAGATTTTTTTTCCATAGAAAAGCAAAATCGAAGGTAAGTTATGCACATAAACATAAAGAAAATAGAGAAATTCGGACACCACCTTAAATCAGCAATTCATCTCACATACTGTTATCCAGATTACAAAGATAGCATATTTTCGATAATGTAGAAGTTGGACATTGCTTAAACAATAAAATAGAGCCACTTATGAGTTCCAGGTCCCAAGTTCAGGTCCATTGAAGAATAAGGAGGAAAGAGGGTACTCAGTGGCCCCTCTCAAATCCAATGCGAGTTCTGCCAGAACCACCATCGTATCCATCCCGCATTGAAGATCCAGCACTAGCTCTCATTGTTCCACCACTGCCAATCTTGTCAAGCGCTTTCTTATTACCCTTCTTCACTTCTGTCAAGAACTGATCCAGACCAAATGGATCAGCCTCTTCTGTAGCCTCATCAAATTCAACTGGTCTGTCCCGTGGACCAGCCTTCTCTGAAGTACCAGCAAAGGCCTTGTCGGCTTTGAACCTTTCTGTTTTCAAGATCTTATCTAACTGCTCATCAGCGCCTCCATACATATCAGCATCAACATCTTTCTTGGGTCGGTACAATGTTGAAAGCGTAGGCTGAGCTGTGAATAGGCCTCGGTCATACACATTATATTGGTCATCAGTGGCAAAACCAGAATCCATTCCCTTCTCTTGGTTGAACAACCTTTGATCATACATAACCTCGCCTCCTCTGCCAGCACCAGTAGAAGCCATACCAAGAGCAACCTTCTCACTGATGTCACGATCTCTATCTCTTGTGATCTTACTCTTCTTACCCATCGCAGCATCTTTTGCCTCCAACCTTCTCTCCCTTTCCCTCTCTCGACGTCGTTCCTCACGAATTTTCTCACGTTGCAGTCGCTCTTCCCTTTCCTCCCTAGTCTCCTTGTGCACATCCCTCTCTCTTTCTCTCACACGCTCATAATCCCCCGCCATATCAACACCCATTGCACTTTTATCAGATGGGATCGGAGCAGATGCAGGAGGAGCAGCACCTGTTCTTTCAGAACGTGCCTTCTGAGCTAAAGCCCGCAGTTCTTGCTCTTTCCTTTCCTTCTCCTTCATCATCATCTCCTTTTGAACTTTAGATCTCATCTCTACAGCTTCTCTAGCCTTCTGCTCTGCAACATAAAGTGCCTCTGATAGCTTGGCAAAATTATCATTGATCTGAACATCCTGCAGACCTCTTCCATCAGCAGCTAGACGCTTATCAAGAGGAATTGTGTACCCTTTAGGGTTCTTCCAATTTGAGATACAAGGAGGGATTTTTCCTTCATATCAACTCTTCCTTTTTGAACTTTAGATCTCATCCTCTACAACACCCATTGCACTTTTATCAGATGGGATCGGAGCAGATGCAGGAGGAGCAGCACCTGTTCTTTCAGAACGTGCCTTCTGAGCTAAAGCCCGCAGTTCTTGCTCTTTCCTTTCCTTCTCCTTCATCATCATCTCCTTTTGAACTTTAGATCTCATCTCTACAGCTTCTCTAGCCTTCTGCTCTGCAACATAAAGTGCCTCTGATAGCTTGGCAAAATTATCATTGATCTGAACATCCTGCAGACCTCTTCCATCAGCAGCTAGACGCTTATCAAGAGGAATTGTGTACCCTTTAGGGTTCTTCCAATTTGAGATACAAGGAGGGATTTTCCAATCCTGCTGATCTTTCACAGTCACAGGCCTAGGAGGGGAATGCATGACAGGAACAGGTGGGGATCCAGAAGCCTTGGGAACCCTCTTGTGCTTGAACTTGGGCGGCTCAAGTGGGTCTACCGGCATCTCCACCATTCTGATGATTCTTTCCTTTGCCCCTGAATTGAAAGCTGCCGATTGCTGTGATGGCTTGTACTTAATATATTTTGAATCTGAAGATTGTTTAGGCACATTCTTTGGCTGTGCTGCACTTAGTCTCACATTCACAATTTTTTCAAGTGCTGCTTTAGTCTCTTGAGTTGTCTCCTCAATCTCTTTTTGCAAATCCTCATCCTCATCCTCATCCATCTCCTCATCATTTCTCAAAATCTTCGGAATCAGATCCTTGTGTTGTGAATAAACAATTTTCTTTGCATTCTCATTTTGCTTCACAATAGCATCATAAGCCACGTTACCATGGGCATCAACAGTCAAAGCAAGAATCTTTGACCCTGGTTTTGCAGACTTCTCCCTACCCATATCAAGAGGGTATTGTGCAATATGAATCTCAGGGAACGCACCACCATCCCCAAAATCCTCCACCTTCCGGGGTACAAAACCTTTACGGTCCAAGTAGGGAGGTACAGGTCTATGTTTGATAACTACGGCCTGCTCTGCCTCAGATGAGCTAAATCGCTGTTTAAACCAAGGATCATTTGAATGATCATAATAGGTCGTACTACTAGACTTGACCGGAGGCAGGAGTTCCTTCAGAGCCGCCATTACAATTTCACCTCACGCGAACTGAATCCTCTGAGTTCGAGAAGCTACCGAGAACTGCCAAAGATAAAACAAAATCTCAATCTAAAACTCCACCAAAAACTCAATCAGTCCGAAGCAGATAAGCGCGAACATAAGTATATAACAACCCAAACCGAAAACAATCATTCAGAAACAGAAGAATTCTAATCTAACGTGCTTAATAATTAAATTAATAGAAAGATCTTAATTCTAACTCGACAATAATTTAACCCCCACAAATTAAAAAAAAAAAAATTAATCAATTAATCAGAACCTAGTCGAATCATATCTCGACCGACAAACCCTAGACAGCAAAAACGAATTGAAGAAAGCGAAAACCATAGAGATAGCGATTTGGAAGCTGCTAACCTTGATACAGATGAGCGCAATCCCTTGATATAGCTGCTAGGTGAAAAATCTACTCCGTTTAAAGTCCAATTCAAATGTCGTCGAAGACGCTTTCTCCAACCATAAATAAGGCGGAGACAGTCGGTGTTTCTAAAATCTTGAATCAATAATGGGATAGGATAATAAAAGAAAAAGACCCGACCCGGGTTTTAAAAGGACGTTAAAAACGTTAAAATTCCTGCTTAGGAAGGGTATGTCCGGATCCGTCCATCGGTAGCCCATTAGCCTGTACTTGACGGGCTGGGCTGAATTATTATTGAGTTGGACCTATTGGTATATTTCAAATCCATACCTTTGAATTGCTTCTCTCAATCGTCTACTAATCAAACGACAACGAGTTTTCAATCATTTCATTGATTTAGGCCCTTTGTAATCTATCAAATCACAAGCTATAGTCTTTACGATTTGGCAAATGGTCGTTTTTTAAAGTTGAAGTTTCCATCAATGAAACGAAGGAAAAATTGTGGCTAATGTGGCGGTTGTGTCTCGTTCGGCTACCGCACGTTTAATATACGCTAAATGACACACCATTTTGTCTCATCCTTAAGGTCAAATCCATGGGCCACAGATCATAAAACATACTCTAGGCCCATCACCAAATGGACCCGTTACAAAAGACAAAGCCATAAAATGTCACAAAACGACGGAAGAAGCCCATTCCTGTTAGTTACCGTTGCACTTCATGGTACCACCCCCCCCCCTCTTCTAAAATTCAAAAAAAATATAAAAAACAACAAAAACACTTTCTCTAACGGCTCCTGACATTTCAAGAACTGAATCAAAAACCCTATCTCAATCCTCTCACCTTCTATCAATTAAAATCCTACCAAGATCCAAGTTTCGAGATCCAAAAGTTTCTCAAATTTTCTGCATTTTACAAGCATCTCTCGCTAAATCTAAATTGGAATCCTAAAAAATCGGCCATTGTAGCACATAAATCGCTCAAAAATGGATTCGACACCTCCTTCTCATAAATCAAACCCAAACTCTCAAACAAAATCAGCTTCTCGCTTAGCTAGAATCACCTATTCTGTTGAAAACGAAGAACCCCCACATCTTTCTTTAGATCTTATTCACTCATCAGCAAAAAGGACATCGCCAACGCCTTCAGCTCTGTCACTCAAATCTTCCACTAACTCTCTTTCTTTCCAAGATCTGCTTCTCCTCTCGCCATCTCCAAGAAAAGCAAGAACTCGCCTCGCAGATCGACTTGAGATGGCCGAGGAGGCTGCCATGGAGCCCACTGGGTCTCGCAGGAGATGCAAAAGCAAAGCAGCTCACTTGAGTTCTATGGGTTGTGCTTCACCAAGGCATAGCAGAAGGTCAAGGAGAAGATCAGAAATAGAGATTAAAGAAGATAAAGACTTGGTGGGCTTGGTGGAGGAGATTGGCAAAGTTAGGAAAAGAAGGCATAGTGGACGGTCTAAAAAGGAGAAGCTTTCTTTGGTCCCTTCAGTACCTTCTTCAAGTCCTTCTCCAAGTAGGCTTAAGCAGCTTCTGTTTCCATTTACTTTATACTCTTTTCAAATATAATTTTCCTTTGTAGGTACTTTTGTATTGATTTGTGCCTTTTTTTTTTTTTTGTTGGTTAAATTTGTGGAATCTAGAAGTTGAAGCTGGTGATGAAAGCAATTTGGATAGAATTGGAATAATTATTTATGACCTGATAATGTGGAAAGATGTGGCAAAATCAAGTCTTTGGTTTGGCTTTGGGTGTCTGTGTTTCTTGTCTTCTTGCTTTGCTAAAGGAATTAGCTTCAGGTGCGAATCTTTTTTATTTATTAGTGTTCCATATTGAATTTCTTTTCTTTGAAACAAAGGATCTAAATCGCTTCTTTTTTTTTTTTTCTTTAAATATTCAAAGCATGCTCTCTGCCATTTCCCAACTTGGGCTTTTGCTCCTGGGTGCATCATTCATCTCAAATTCTATATGTCGAAGGTACAATTCCAATACTTCTTTAATACAATGTTGTTTTTAGGTTTACAAAATATGTTATCTTAGATTTTGTGGTTTAATCACAGAAGTAATGTTGAAAAGAGAAGCAACTTTAAGCTGAAAGAAGAGGACATCTTGAAATTGGGTAGATTAATTCTTCCACCTGCTAATCTTGCAATTTCAAAGACAAGAGAGCTTTTCTCAGGAGAGCCATCCATGACCCTCAAAGTAATTATCAATGCCTCATTAAATACTTGGCAATTTTCATGCTTTGCTTTGAATGAATACTTAACAACATGGGCTCTTAATTTTCTTGTTGCAGGTAATTCCATTCTTGCTTCTTGGAGCTGAGTATGGTCACCTTGTAACTTTGAGGAGACTTTGTGCTCTAGGTATGAGCATTAGTATGTTTGTCCACATCCCTAAAATGCTTGAATTTGAAAATTCATATCCCTTGCAACCTTAACCCTTTTTTTTTTGTTATAAATGAATTTGAAGTACAGAATTCATTTTTAAAATGTCAGGATTTGGCTTAGTTATGTTGAATTCTACAAAGATGAACATCTTCTTTTCACATAAAAAACTCACAAAACCTTGTGGATTTCATCTATATACCAAACAAGGTTTTTTGTTTTTATTTGTTTTTATAGCGGTTGATGTGAATATGATATGGTTTGTGGATTTGAGCAGGGTTGTTCATTGGCTTCACTATCCCCAAATTGTATTCATGCTATTCCAGTCAGATAAATCAAAAAGGTATGTAAAAATCACCTCATGTAATTCTAATTTCTAATGCATTGAGTGACTTTGCTATGCATTCTTGGAATCTTGGTTGGTTGATTGGGAGTAAACATATCTGGGTTTACAGTTGATTACATTAAAAGCCGCATTTTGGAAGCATGGGAAGCTTGCTCCCACAAGAAGATTGTGGCAGGATCAGCAATCACAGCCTTTTGGAATATGTCCAGTGTCAAAACTCGCATTTTTGCAGGTAATTCACAGAACTTGTCATTGTCCAAGCAGTTGCATTTATCTGGTGATACTTCATTAGAATGAAGCAATATGTATATATTCTCATCCTGCATAGCACATAGGCTATACTAAAGAAATGCTTCTGGTATATTTGACTCAAAAACCTCATGGACATGTCTCTTTATAATACTGCTTTTATCTTCAATCTAATTATATAATTTTGTTGCACTTAGCTTGGTTCATTCTGCCCTTGTAAGGCCTATTAACTAGAACATATGAAATTATTCTCAACTCTTGATTCTTACATTGGTTTTGAAATTATTTGCAGCATTTATATTTTTGGTGATCCTACGGTGCTTCCGGCAACATCTGTTACCAGAACAGGAAAAAGGAGAAAGAGAACAAGAGCCACAGCAAGCATTGGTGGTGGTGGAAGAAGAAGAAGTAGCCTCACAGAAATAGTATTTGTTGGTTATTGCCATTACTAACATATAATAATTTCTACTACAATGTATTAGCAGTCTACAGAACTAACAAAATATTTGTTTTACCATAAAAGTGATTGATTGATTTATCAGTATTCAATTTGTACAAATAAAGAGTGTTTTCAGTGTACTTATTTTCCTTCCAATCAGCTTCTTTTCTTCTATTTATATTCTCAAATTATTTGAGTCATAAGTAGATGAGTGATTCTACAAAGGAGTTTAAGACCTTCGAAGATGGCCCTTTCAAAAGGTCTTAAAGTTGCTAAAAGATAGACCTTCAATGAATTATTGCTCGTTCATGGTTATTGAGCTGAGCCCAAACCGAGCTCGAGCTTGACTATTTTTAAACGAAACAAACTCGAAATGAGTTTAAATTCACTAAAGCTCGGCTGGTTTACAGTCCTAACTACGAAAATTGATATGATATTTAAATAAAAATAGCTAAATTCTCATTCATTATTAATAAGGGAGAAAACTTGATGCATTTAATATATAAGTTGGAGTATTAAATTGATTAAATAATTAATTATAATCCATTATTCAAAAAATAATTATAATTGATTACATTGATGTTTTCTAAATCTTTTAAAATAAAAATAAAGTGGTAATCTTTTTTTTTTTCAAAACGACACTTAAAATGGTACAAACAAAGTATAAGGAAGAGAAAAAACTTAAATTTTCAATAAAAATACAATGAAATAATTTCTCAAATATTTTTAATTATTTTATTAAATTTTCTAATAAAAGCAATCTTGCTTGGTGCATGAGAGAAAGTCTTGCTTTGTGCATATGAGTTGGTGACTTCTTTGGTTTGATTCATGATGAATGTAAACATGGAGGGCCTAGCTTTGTCCGATGATGAGGAAACGAAAATACAGTTGGCTTCAGGGGGAAGGAGCCAGTGGGTCTCTTAGCATTGTTTAGTACGGCTGAGCAACAAGGTGATATTCATGGTTGTTGTGTAAAGAGTAGTGCTCCCAGTATTTCTCATTTGCTTTTTGTGGATGACAGTCTTTTTTTCTTTCGGGCCAATGGTCGAGAGGCTGCCCTTATTAAGGCTATTCTTCGAACATATGAGATGGCTTCTGGTCAATCAGTCAATCTTTAGAAATCAGGTATTTTTTTTCAGTTCTAATACTCCTGTGGCTTTGACAAGTACCATTTCGGCCCTTGGGTATGTCCTTGCCCTTGAACCATGGTCAGTATCTGGATTTGCCTTCATTAATAGGGAGAAATAAATAGGCCAAATTTGGTTTTTTGCGGGATAGGTTGTGGCAAAAGCTTCAGGGATGGAAGACTAAACCATTATACCGTGCAGGGAAAGAAATTTTAATTAAAACTGTTGGCCAAGCTATTCCTTCGTTCTGCATGAGTGCCTTTATGATCCCTATTGGTACGTGAATTTAGCTGGAACGAATGTTAAATTCTTTTTGGTGGGGAATGAAAAGGGATGAGAGGTGTAGCATTCATTGGCTTGCCTGGGAGCGCATATGTTATCGGAAGGAGGAAGGGGGGGATGGGGTTTTGCCATTTTCAAAGTTTCAATCTCTCTTTTGGGAAAACAAGGTTGGCGAGTTCAAATCGATCACATTACTTTTATCACAGGTACTCAAAGCTAAATACTTTCCAGATGGGAATTTTATTATTGTTTCACTTGGGCATAATCCTAACTATACATTGAGGAGTCTTTTGGGATCTCAAGAAATTTTACAGGAGGGATTGAGGTGGAGGATATGTAATGGGGTTAATGTTAATATTTGGTCTTATCCTTGGGTCTGTAGGGATATGATGTTCTATGTTCATTCTCCTATTTTGCGTTTTAAGGATCTACGAGTTGTTGATCTTATTGATACTGACAGACGGGTATGGAATGAAAGCTTGATTAGTGGGCTTCTTCCTTTAGATGTAGCGGATATTCTGTCTGTGCCCCTTAGTTCTCGGAACATGGAGGATTTGGTTATTTGGCATTGGACACGGAACGACAATTACACTATTAAGTCTGCATATAGGATAGCTTTCACGCTGTATTCTTAGATTCAAGCCCCGCCTACAAGTCGGATTTAGGGAATTATTTGGAAACTCCATATCCCGCCAAATATTAAAGTCTTTCTATGGAGAATGGGTCGGGATTTGGTGCCTACCAAATGTAGGTTGGTTCACAGGGGTGTGGAGTTGGATCAGTCTTGCGTTTTCTATGATCAAGTTGAAGATGGAACCTATCTGTTCTTTCACTGCCCTCTGCTAAGGCTGTGTGGCAGCGGTTGGGAGTGCAACTTCCTAATGAAGGGTTTTCTGACTTTATTCATTACTTTGAGTTTGTTCTGCAGAATTGGGGGAAGGATAAGCTTACAGAGTTTTGCTCCATTGCATGGTATTTATGGTTTTGTCGAAATCAAGCTATCTGGAATGGCACTTATACTACACCTGATCTGATAATTTCGCGGGGCAAGGGTGTGTTGTGTGATTGCCGTGAAGTGCAAGTGTGGGAATCTGCTAGCTCAATCTATTATGCACCTAGCGAAGGTCCCCTTGTGTGGTTACCTCCTACTGAAGATTTTGTTAAATGTAATCTGGATGCTGTAGTAAATAGGGATAGGAATCAGTCTAGCTTTGGTGCTATTTTTAGAAGTTCCACAGGGGTTTTTCAGCTGGGCATTTCTGGGTTTTGGCTTGGTGTTTATGAGGCGCGAATGGCTAAAGCTTTAGCAATGAGGGAGGTGATGTCATGGATCAAAGTTAGACATTTTTCTAGTGTGATTGTGGAGACTGATTGTCGAGAAGTATAGTTTGCTGTACTGCAGGTGGAGGATGATTGCTCCAATTTTGGTATGGTGGTTGCTGACTGCATGGCTATTCTTTCAACTCTCACCAACGTTCCCGTGAGTTGGACGCGAAGACAAGTGAACAAAGCATCTGATGCTCTAGCTAGCTAAGGTTACTTTTTCTTATACTCGTTTTCAGTTATGGTATGAGCTTCCTCCAGATGTCGAAGCTCTTTTTCTTAATGATGTAAGCTTATCTTTGCAATAAAATTCTAGTATTCCTTCGAAAATAAAAATAAGGTGTGAATAAAAACTAATTTATAAAATGAAAATTTTATTAGATTTTTCTAAAGCATATTGGCTCCTAACATTTTATACACCTCCTACCAATCCATTTTTGGTTTTATTTTAATTTTAAAATTTTTTATTTGGTTTTATTTTCATAAAATTCAAAAATAAGTTGAAATATGTTAAATATAGTTAAAAGTTAAATCAAACCAACTCAATTTGAATTGATTCAATACACTATTTAGTTTGTACGATATAAAAATTTTTTATTTGTTCGAATTATATTGGTTCGATTTGATTTAAACATACTCTACTCCCAATAAAATCCCCACGTGCACAAACACGTATTAAGTATTAACATCTAGCAATTTTTATGTATCGTAAAAATAAATAAATAATAAAAGTAATAATACCTAACCAACCAAAAGTCGCGAATCAAAAGCCCTAACCCCAATTCCCTTTGTTGTATTCAGTACTTCTACAAAACGAGCGAGAAGCTGCTTAGGGTTTTGAATACCTCTTTTACCAAATCTCCTTCGATTTCAATAATGGCTACAGCAGAGAAGAGAAAGCCCGTCTTCATCAAGGTAGAAGAACTAAAACCAGGAACCACCGGTCACAATCTCACCGTTAAGGTCCTCAACTCCAAGGCCGTCCCCGTTCCTAAGCCCCGTCGTGCTCCTATGTCTCTTTCTCAGCGTCCTGTCCGCCCCGCTCGTATCTCCGAGTGTCTTGTCGGCGACGAGACAGGCTCTATTGTCTTCACAGCCCGCAATGACCAAGGTTTTGCCTCTTTCTCTCGCTTGTTCTATTTATTAGTTGGAAATGTTAAATTAATTTGAATTTACGAAAGAGGGATTAGGATTGAGATCAATATTAAATTTGAAGTCAGCTAAATTATTAGTTCAGTTTCGCTTACTTTGGTAATTTGATGCTTGTATCGAGTCTAAGATAAAAAAATGAACGGGTCTTCTTTATTGTTCTCTCGCCTTTTTGTTGTTGAATGTAGGGATTCAAAGGTTCATTTTCATATAATTTTGCCTGTAATTTTGAAATATTGATTTCATATTTAAGGTTTTATAAAGAACAATAATTTCACATGCCTTCAGAGTCAGAAAGGGTTTATTTTGTACTAATGAACACTGGCCTCGCTTAATCTGTTTGATTTGAAGCATAAAGGAGGTTTCTTTAGATGCTGTCTATTCTTTTTTGCTCATATGGATTAGTTCTAACTTTCGGATAGTTGGTTCTGAAAATCAATCAGGTTAATTTTCATACGATTATGGATCTTTTGGAGCTTAGATGCTCATTTACATCTATTTAGGAGCCTTTTGAAATGCACCTTGTCTTTGTTTAGGGATCAATTATAGCTCTCTATGGTTTCTGCTTATGGAAATCTAGTTCTCGTTTGCAAATCTGTTTGTCAATTGTATAGGTTTTGGCGAAATGCCATTTTATATCATTGTTGTAATACAATTCCTATATTATGCAGTTGATCTAATGAATCCCGGCGCCACTGTTATTCTGCGTAATGCTAAGATTGACATGTTCAAGGGGTCTATGAGGCTTGCGGTAGACAAGTGGGGGCGAATTGAAGTTACAGAACCTGCTAGTTTTGTAGTTCAAGAAAATAACAATCTCTCTCTGGTTGAGTATGAACTAGTAACTGTCCAAGGATGATTAGTTTGGTTGGGTATGAATTTGGTTACTCTTGAGGGTGTTTAGTATCTTCAGGAAGTGAATATTTGGAATTTACTGAAGACATTATTTTGTGCCCTGATTTACTGAAAGACAGTTTTCGAATATGGTACAAAATTTTGGTTAATGTGTAATTTTTAATCTTAGTATTTGAATGTTAATTGGAATATCTAATTATCATATTGGGAAAGGGACGCAATTCTGCTAAATTTCATAATTTTATATTGTCAAGATTTTGTGGAAATCTACATTTTTTTTTTTAATGTATATTCCAGAGTGAGTTTATTTTACTTTGGTGAAAATGGCTACAGGTCGAATTGAATGGTTGTATTTTCTGAAGCTGGTTGTAACCATAATGAACATATATATATCAACAGTCTTTAAAGTATGATCATTTAAAATATCTTTTGACGTATTTTTCATCAGAAAATTTTATTACTCGTCGGATCAAAAGGACTGAAGGAAAGATAAAATTCTATACTTGGAAAACCAATCCCATATCACTAGAAATAAAATTTCATCCATTTACAATCCAGAAATAAAATGTGTACAATTAACTACAACTATGCAAAACAAGAGTGTAGAATAGGAACATATAATTCTTAGTAGCCACCGTTGCTAAACAAATTGTGTCCCTTCAACATTAATATAAACCAACCTAAATAAGGAAAGCTCAAGAAAGCTCCTCGCCATGCCAGAATTGCCAATAGAGATTACAGCCCTAACCATGCAAAACATCAAGTCAGATACAAGTGGAAAACTCTCATGGCTTGAAAAGCACAGTACAGCCAACATCCAGGAAATAGTACATAACCTAGTTGGTAACAAGACAAAATAATATCATTAAACTACTCAGCAGAAAGCCAGACAAAACTTGAATTACTCAGCAGACAGCCAGAAAAAATAATGCAGAAATTACGGACCATCAGCACCATGATGAGCATGCTCCACTATTTCTTTCTCAATCATGCATATAATCAACCTAATACATACAACACATAATGACAAAGGGATTGGGGGTTGAAAAATGTGATTCGAATTCATAATACGGCCTCTCCAATGTATAGTTTACAACCAATGACTAGATATGAAGGAATAGCAACTGCTCACAACTGCAACTCATATGTTAATGAACTAAAAATGTACTTAATTGCTTTAGAGTTATATATATACACACACACAACATAATTCACAAACATCAAAGAGAAACGAAGTAGCTACATGGCACATGACACCAACTAAACGGTCTTATTTCCCACAGCATTTAGCTAAGGCAAGAAAACTATTTAAAAAGAAGAAAGTGAAAAAAATGACTTGTCGTTCAACAGTTCTAAATCAGCTGGCATCATCCTCTTCGAATGAAAGTTGGGAATTTTGGAACAAAACTTGTCCTGAATGCATGGAGACTCATCACGCATCATGATTGCAAACTGATTAAATACAAAATATCAACAATGGTGCAATAATTTCATACCCACAGTATAATCGTTTCAGAAAAGGAAATAAATGAAAAATATACTTTTATTTTTCATTACGCAATACATCTTTCAAGCTGATGTATAAGAGATATTAAGCTCAAACATCAGGAAAAAACAATGGTGTTATCTTTGGGCTATAGAAAGGGCAGGAAATCCTACTAATTAGTAATTCATCTAGGTTCAAAAGCTCAAGAAATATGAAGTCATCTCCTCAGCAGCTCAACCAAAACTTCTAAGGGCAGACTTTTGTACAAAAGCTTGCTTGAATCCTCTGAACATTCATCACACATCATCATTGCAAGCTGGTTGAATAAAAATAATCAGTATGCTCCCTTAATCATCAGGGAAATTCTTTTCTTAAATCAAAATTAATAAAGAAAAATGGTTGCATTCAACTATTTAAAATTCAATTGCACAACACTGAACCATTTATAACCAAATAAAAAACCCTGCATCATGTAGGCCCCACAATCACATTATTCAAATGTTCATGCGTGCTCTCAGATTTCATAAAACTATCTGTCTATCCCTGAAGTTCATTTATTCTAGTTTCATGAAGACATTGGATGAGTAAATGTCAAAGGCTACCATCTGCACTCAGGAAGTCCTGTTTGAGCACAAATAAGTGGGTCTATCTTAAGAATAAAGGAGTCATCCACACACGTGATGGAATCGAATGGGGGCAAAACTGATTACATTCAACATAAGGTTCCTTCAAAAATAACATAAACACAGATCAAATAGTGAGATTTAGCAGAACACTTGTTAAAAAAAAAAAGTTTAAGGAACTATTTTGCAGAATTGCTGTCATTTTACATCATGTCCCTTAAATTCTTCTCATAAAATAGTCTCCTGCCTAGACTATACACGATGCCACTCGTTTAATTTTAAAGCTCAGAACCATAAATAAATCCAAATCAGTCCATCTTTGCTTCCTGATCTTCATCTAGTCTCATCTTGTCCTACAACAGGAAAAGAGAGGAGCATGCACTTACTTATAAATTGACGTATGAATAAAAGAATGACATTATTTCTTATTCTTAGACTCAAAATTCTTAACACAGTGATTGAAAAAAAAAGAAAATGAAAGGATGAAATCAACCACAAGGCCTAATATCTAAGTCCATGACCAAAGGGCTCAAAGGTATTAAAAACACACCGGGCTATTCACGGTAACATAATAATAAAAACTATCAATGCTCCTTATTCCATTAAGAAAGTACTCAATAAGCAAGAAATAAAAACAGTTCGAGAAAAATGGATCAAAGATCAATTATGTAACTAGCTAATTAATGCATCAACAACAAAAACATTCTTAATACCTTCCGGAAGCCAACCATAGCAGCGGGGAGAGATAGACAGCATTGAAGTCATTAATGCCGAAGCCGTGGCAGTGTGGTATGGCATCATCGATTCCAATCCAAAGCTCATTTCCACAGGTCGCCTTTTATTCTCAAAAGAAAAACCCACTGTTAAGAAACTTCACACTAATACTAATAGAGAAACGTACGAACTTTACATGTATATAGAGCGATATGTGACCTTAAAATGGATTGAGAGAGAGGCTTGTTGGAGGCTGCGCGAAAAGGAGAAGCTTGTGAAGATTTGGGTTTGGCAGCGAAGCGGGATGCTACGTTGCGAGCGGAGGAAGATGACCGGTAAAGGGATCTTGCGGCGGCGAAAGAGGCCATTTTGGATCTCTGCTAATTTTGTGGGGGGTTTTGGAGATAGGAACTTAAACCCTGTCACAGTCCGGAGTGTTTGGACACGAAGGTAGGAAAGACTACGTTCGGTATTATCGTGCAATTTATATAATCAAAATAATAATAATTAGCTAATTACTTGTTAACCACATGTAATATCATGCTTACTAAACTAGTGAGAATTCTTCTCGGGTCGTCGAACGACCATTTGACTGGCATCTGGTGACTGACATATGACTTGTCGTTTGGTTTACCAACAATAACATGACTAGTCGATTGTGGGAAAACAAGCTGATTGATTACTGGCGCAGTCGAACGACAATAATACAAATATGTAATTATGAATTTCATATTTAAACGAAAAGGCTTTTTTTTTATACAATTATTTTTTAAAATGATTTTGTTAATTCCCAATTAGTCCCCAATACAACAGACTCCGGTTTTGTTTCTCCTGGTGGCATCCTCTCTTTCTAGGGTTTATAGCTAAAAACTTTAATTTTTTTCTGCATCAATTAGTGCATTTATGACTATCAGAATCTCAGAGGGAATTTTCCTCCATTCGTAAAGTCTTCATCTTTATTAAACCAGTGGCTTTTCTGTCCTCTTACTGCGTACTGTAATGGCTTCTCTCTTCAAGGTAACTGTTAATTCGAAGCTATGATTTTCCATGTCAATTTTGTTTTTTTTTTCCTTAAAATTTTGACTTTTATTAGCAATTTATATCTTTTTTTTTTCCCTTAAATGGCAGGACCCATCCAAGCTTTCTGCATATCGGGATAGAAAGTTTCCTGGATCGCAGGAGGAATTTGAGTATGCCCTTGCGACCTCGACAACTGTTTATATAGGGAACATGTCTTTCTATACTACCGAAGAACAAGTTTATGAACTTTTCTCTCGAGCTGGAGAAATTAAGAAGATTATTATGGGATTAGATAAGAACACGAAAACTCCTTGTGGGTTTTGTTTTGTCTTGTAAGTTGAATGTTTGAATTTCAGAAATTTGTTCAAATTGTAGTATTTATGAAGTAGGCTTGGCATTGAATGCTTCATGTATGTGTCTTTTAGGTTCTACTCTAGAGAAGATACTGAAGATGCAGTAAAATATATCAGTGGAACAATTCTTGATGATCGTCCAATTCGTGTGGATTTTGATTGGGGATTCCAGGAAGGAAGGCAATGGGGCCGTGGTCGAAGTGGTGGACAGGTGAGCTTGCTGTTCCAGTTATCTATTGTTGCATTTGACCCTTTTATGTGGTTTCTTTTTTTTATTATTTCCCCTTAATTTTGCAGGTTAGAGATGAATATCGTACAGATTATGATCCTGATATCCTTTTATTGCATAACTTTTTAATGCTTTTTGTGCTTTTTTTTCTCAGTATAATCCAGTTAACATTGTAGCAATGCTTATTTTCTATGAGAATTGATGTTTTTAGAGCCTATTTGTTTCAGCAATTTAACAAGGTTATCCTGGTGTTGAAATCAAACTGGAAATCTTTCTGGCTCAAGTACTGATAGTTATACAGGCAGTCAGCTTATCACTATTACTTTCTTCATATAGTTCTGATTCCAGTCATCTTATACATGGCTTCTATCCTGTGATTGGACCATGTAATTCTTTCTAAATGATACAAAATTCAAATTAGTTTTGCTTGAGTGAATGCGCTTTAACTCTTGCCAGTGAGGAGTTACTGATTAAGAAAAGCCACTTTGAGTATTTAGAATCTGCAGTCATTTCTGCTCATTTGGGCACATAGGATCTTCAGATCTTGCAATACAAAAATTATATCATGTGCTACTTTCTGTCTCCTTAACATGTTATACGCAGAGGTGGTTATGGAAAATTGGTTCAGCGAGAATTGGAACAAAGGCAGCTTGTGGATTATGGCGCTGGTTCATTGGGCACTTTCCCTCCAGTGATGGCACCTCATTGTAAGTTTTGAGAACTTGGTCTTGATTGTCTTTCTTTTTAAAAATGCAACTTTAATCATATTCTTTGAGATTTCTTTGGATAAACCCTTAATACGATGGCTGAGCCTGGCTAATACCAGGCCTAGAATTAAAGCATAATTCCAAACTTCGAAGCTGTGAACTCGAAGCCTCTAATTATGAACATTATTTACAATGAAATATGATGAAACTGCAACGATGCATTCTAATGTAATTTATGCAGGTTAATTCATGATTACCACACAATGTTACTGGGCCAAACCAAGGATTCTGACTTTTTAGGTTGATGAAACGTGTATTGGGTCCTAAATTGATGGCTTACCCCAACTGCGATTTCATTCCTATGCAGGCTACTAAGAATTTTTCAGAAATACTGGACTTGATGGTTGTTGAAAATAGTATGATGTTGTACAAGTTGAATTTATACGTGAATGGCAGCTTTTTGAAGAAGACAGGACTTCGTTAGAATTTCTTTTGCTAACAATGGTGCAGCTTGGAGTTAAGATGATAGAATCTAAGAGTTGTTTAACAGGATTGCTTGTAATCATGTGAATTGCAAAATGATTGTGCTGCTTGGTTTGACATGGAAGAGAGAGGTCTGCTTATATGGGCAGACTTTTGTTAACTTATAAATTATCTTTTGAGTATTAGTAGTTGAAATGTATAGGCTCTATGCTGTACACTATAAATACAGAATGGTATAAAGGGAATAGTAGACTGCCTTTTCAGTTTCTAAATTACATTCTCGGATCAGATTCTAATTTTGTTCCCTTGTCCTGAGTGTCTTACTAAATGTGTTGAAGCAACCATCTGAAGTTGGAAACTCTACTCTTTCTAGATTCTGTGAATAATTATTTGTTGGAAATACTATGCTGCTTGTTGATATTCACAATTTTATCATAAAATTTATGAAATATTATCTAGTCATACCAATGCATTACATCCAAAAGTTTTCTTTGAACTGTCTTACTGAGGCAGCTTGGAATGCTTTGTGAGTACTGTTAGGTTAACGCTTACCAAATCATTACCGGGGTTACTGGGGTATCTTTTCTTTAATTTTCAAGCATTTTTCTTCTTCTTGTATTCTGCCTTATAGTTTGCCTTTTCATTTGCTTAAACTGATGGTATATTATACTTAAAAGTTTTCCTATACATATTCTAAGACTTGTTTTTTCTGCAGATGGCAGGCATGGTGGAAACCATGGTCATGGTGGTTATAACCGGCATGGCAGAGGTATTTTCTCTTTTTTGTACTTTCAAATTTCCTTTTGAGTATCTTTCCTTGTGCCCTTTTTGTATTAATAGTCCTAGTCTTTTTTATTGCCATGCCTATAATCAATCTGTTTTGGCATGTTCATAAAATCTTATTTGATCTGAGCCTTTATGGAAAGCAGATCTTCACCGGAAGCGGCACCGAGACGATGACCGTCGTCCACACGAGTCTTCAAGGAGAGCTTCAGATCATGAATCAAGGAGAAACTCTGATCCTGATTCCCGACCAGTAATTTTCTAATGCTTAATTGTCTTTGTCACCTGCAATCATTTTTTAATTTTAATCACATTATGCTAGTCTTAAGAGGGGATCTCTGTTTTGGAGGGCCTCCGTTACTACCTGCTTTTCAGCTGAATGCAATTATAAAACTTGCATCAATTGTTGCAGAGAAACCAAAAACATGCTTTCTGCTTTCGCACATCCTTAAGCATATTTCCAGTAGGTCGGCTAATCCAAACTTTGTTTGATGTAACAGGAGAAGAATCCACGTTTTCGTGAAAGTGGCGACTCTGATGATGAAGAAGAAGATGATCGAAAACGAAGATCTTAGCAGATTCCCATTCAATATTTTGAATTAGGAAGTTGTTTAATAGAATTCTTGTACTAAGCCTAATTATGGTGAAGATATTTCACATCTGGGTTTGGACTTGGATGATGTTGTATGAAGTGTAGATTTCCAAAATCATGATACACCCAGTTAACATTCATAGTTGTTTCTGCATTTCTTTGGTTGCCTTGAATGCTTTTTCTTAATTAGCCGTCTCGTCCACCTGCTTCCCCAATGTTTAGACAGCTTGACGCAACTATCAATGGATTTTGCCAGAAATGTGATTTCTCCTTGCCAAATTGCAAACTAGAAGTTGTCCTGATTTCATTCAAAATATACTTTTGACGCTTGATTGGACAAGCCTTAAAATTTACATGAATCAAATTGGCTTTCTTTGTACTTTTTAAAACAAAACAAGGACTTGCACTGTTTCAAATCGGGTAAAAAAAATTCAAAATTGATTATAATTAACATTTGAATTACAATGCATCAGAAAGTTTTGGCCTATCAAAAACTGTAACAAAATGATTAACTTATAACCCTGATCCTCCAGAGATCTCCTGATTCACTCATGTTGGACTACATTGTGGTGGAATGACCTAGAGACCTTGATGCCAGGACACTGCCTCTTAAAGACTAGTAAACTTAACGACACAAGGTCAAATATTCTAAAATGCACAGCCCGTAAAAATGCATCCGATAACATGCTTAACTCACTCAACTTCTTTGATGATTCTCTTCTTGCGCAATGGTTTAGTGACAATACTTCCAGGAGCACTATGAGCCTTCCTTCTTTCTTCTTTCCTCCGTGAAGCCTCAGTCATTGTGCGTCTGAGGGCAGCAGCTTTGAATATGGGTTTTGGTAAGTGTCTATGCCTGCAATCAATCATTAAGGAAAAGTAAGTAAAGGCGCTGATTGACCATCCACTACTGGTATCCTATATAGTTTTCTCACAGCCCTAATAACCAATCCAATCGATACTTATCTGCCATTCAAGAAAGTGACTCCCAATTAAAAGGTTAAAATTTTCACCTGATAATACGTTTGACCTCTGGAAGATGCTTATAGCGTTTCTTGAGAGCTTCATGATATTCATGCTTTCTTTTTTCCCTTGGCAATAGCTGTAACGAAAAAAGGATATATTGGGATTTACATTTGGAGAAAAATGGATAACAACTCATGTAAGGATCAGCCAGTGAGGCAGTGAAACAAATATTAATCACTGTGTTACAAAATGAAGTACTATTAGACCTCAAAAAGGTTCAATCCACCATGCATCTTATATGGTGCAAATAATAATCAATACTAATAACCTGATAAACCAAGAAATTTAAATATATATATATGAACTAGTACATTTGAGTCTCAATCAATGGATAACAGACGGTGAAATCTGCAACTTTTTTAGGAGTAATAGCACAAGGTGCTTGCCAAGGATTGCTGATGAAATGAGTGGATAGAAAAAAAATCTTACTACTCCCAATTGCTCTGATGCTTTCGTTTTCCATAGCCTCAGGTTGGTGTCATCACTCCCTGAAATAATATAACTAGCATCACAGGTGAACTTGACACAGAATACCCTACATAGAAATGAGAAGGAAACGGTCAGAAAGCAAACATGCTAAAATTGCATTTCATCTACAAACCTTTAAAAGGCACAGGATCTAGGATACAAAAACTTCATTTTGAAGTTAAAACGTTCATATACAACTTAGATTCAACAGAGAGGTTTGTCATTAATATTAAATAAATCACAAAATCAATCAACAAAACTGAATTGCTATGAACCAAACTGATCAAACCTTTGCATTCTTTTTGTATGATAAATTTCCCTGCTATGACCGCCATTGTACTGGAAGATCCTAACCTGAAGAAGATGTGCAGTTATTAGAAAAATAGAAAAAAGTTACTAAGGAAAAAGGTAAACAAGCAATTGCAAGATAGAACTCACAGTTCTATCATAAGATCCTGTTACAAATTCTCGGCCAGTAGGAGAGTAGTCAATATCCATCCTGAAAAGGATAATGTGTTAGTAGAAGTTTCATGGTAATAATATTAGGTACAACAAGGTGAACCATTTGACATCAATCTTCTTACACCGCAGAAACATGATCTTTGTGCACACACTTAGCTTCATCCAATTTTCTAGCATCATAACTATAGCAATTACAATCTTCATTTGCCTGCATCGTTATTGAATGCATCATTAGTACTCTTTTCAAAAGCTTTCTACAGAAGTACTACTTCCATGTTATATTACGAAGCATCAGGCAAGCAAAAATGAAAGCTTTCTTTATGTTCTACTTCTTGCTCTAGAATATATTTATATCCAAGGTAAGCCTCAATTTAATTTGCTCACAGCTGTGAAGTTCATTGGCTCCATTGGGTTCCATGCAATGGAATTGGTTTTTGTCTGCAAGAAAAAAAAAACTGCAAATATGAGAGAAGTGACAAATATACACAGGAAACTTAAGAATACAACAAGTACTATACTTTCATGCAAATGGAAGGCCAAAATTACCAGCATGATAAGTTTCCTTGCAGGAGTTGATACACGCAAATCATACAATGTTATGCTACGGTCACTGCAAAAGGGGGAAAAGAAGCTTTCACATGAGTACTCTCTCTTCTCTCATGTGTATCAATATGTGTAAGTGTATGCAACATATTTATTATTCATAACAAATGCAGCATTCACAAATAAAACAACATGCAATGTGCACCCATCCATGGAAGGGCCTGACACCTATAATGCCAATAAATAAATATTCAGAGGGGAAATTTGCAGGTAGCATATGCAGCATATACACATTTAATTTATGGTTGTAATGACATCTGTCCGTACATAGTATTACATCCATATGTATGAAGATGTCAGTCAATTGTGACCACACAAATCTCATTAAGCAAGCAATATTCATTGGCTCAAACAAGAAGGCCAAGCTGTTAATGTATTGCAGCATTCATAGTCGTAAAGCATCTAAATAGAGCTAATTTGTATTGCAGATAGAATCATGGAGAACTGTTGAACCTATAAGCAATTATGAAAATAAACCACGCCTAGCTGTTTATTCTTTTCTCCTGAAATTGAAGGACAAAAGATGGAATATAAAACATTCACTAGTCTTTCAAATCACACAATATCAGGAAAGACAAAAGGAAAACCTTAGTAATTTAAAATAAATTTAAGCCTCTGGTTCCCATTTATCACTAGAGGAAACTACTATACTTCAATGTAGTATGCCCTTATCCACTTGTTGAACATCATTAAAAAGTCCTCTTTAATGACAAACATGCTTGATGTCTCTTGGCAATCATCTTCTGTCTTTAACTTACTTTGGTTGTTCTAAATATTCTTAGGTGGAATATGGATTCAAATTCATGATACTAAAGTATAAATAACAAGTAAAGAATGAAAATGAAAGCTATATCACGTGTATATGATTAAGCACATGATGATTGAACTATAGTTATTTATCCAGGAATACCTTGCAGTCGTTGCCAAAAGGTTCGGTTCCCCAGGATTAAATCGAACAGATATAACTGTGTCCGTTCCCCACTCAAAACTATTCACTGGCTGAGACCTAATTTACAGGAGTGGCACTGTAAACATAATTGATATAACTTTGCACTTAATGGAACAATAAACTAGTTTAGATTTAAACCTATTGTGATTCCAAATATCTACTTGAGCACCAGCTGTGGCAAAGAGCTCACCATCCCATTGGTGATCAACACCCCTGAAAACAACAGTGTACAATTCAGAATGTAAGGAAGAATACTTACAATGCATATACGCAGTACAAGAATCGAAAATGTATTTCCTAATAAATAATTAGTACCCTCACCAAAATGCATTCTTCCCAACATAGACTGCCTTTGGCTGAAAATAGGAGCAGCGACTTGTTGAATAGATAGAAAGAGAAAAGAAAGAAATTTAAACAGAAACATATGATTTCATGAAGAAAAGGCGATACCTCGGCTGAACTGTTAGAGGTGCTGTCTGATTCCATAATGGAAGCCACTGGGACATTCCAAAGCCTCACACTGAATAAATAACATTACGGGCAACTTACATAAACTGGCTTTCTTGTATGCAAAAGATAGATAAAAGGTACAACAGACATTCAGTTTAAAACATCTCATTTTTTCCTTTATTGATTTCAGTTTTGAAAACTCGAGTTCGATCTTATTGGTACAAACTATGTCTTACGTGCAATCGGTTCCACAGGATATTAGCGTCCGCCCATCTGTAGAGGCTGTCAAACCTCGCACAGCACCTTGATGACCAGGAAACTGACAGACAGTTCGCCTGTTGATCCATATATTCATGAACATATTTGTCAATCCTCCATGCTCAACATCAAAATGAAAAAACACATCTCATTGGAAAGAAAATCCATGAAGACAGCTATAAACAGAAATTTTAGTACAACAGACACATCTAATTCTCTAACCTGGTCCACCTTTATATCCATGAAGACAGCACCTTGTTTGGTATATAAATGAATTCCATAAAATTTATTGATTGTATATACAAATCCACATTATCATATTAGGAATAAATGAAAATTTATTTAGAATTCTACAATTTTAATTCTAAGGAATCGGCTATCCTTAAGCCAAATTTATTAAAATTGATAGAATTTATAAACGAATTATAAATTTAACAAGGAATTCAAGCTAGTGAAAGTAATAGAAGCTTAAACTAACAAAGGTACTAGCTAGTAAGGAAACAAATTCATACCTCTTCTTTCTACTATTTGTGCTGCATTCTACATGTATGTATCCAGGCATATATATGTAAAATGCAAAAATCCTAACCAAGGTTACAATATAAAATCACAAACTTCCAATTGACTTCAACATGAAATTACCTGGAAGCAATATCCCAAAGGCGAATATCTGCAAGAATAAATAATAAATAAATAAACAACTAAGCCGGAGAATATAAAAAAGTTCCAAATTTATCTCCAGAACAATAAGGAACCAAAAAAAATCCTAAAATCTGATAGAAAATTAATATAATACTCAAATCATTATTCAGAAACTAATTTTTCATCCTACTGACAACCAAAAAACAAAATCCGCAAAGCATCAACTTATCAAGCAAAGCACCACTAAAAATTATCTAAATACCTCCATCCATAGAACCAGAAAATATCCCTTTCAAGTAATTTGGATTCTTTGCCATACACGAAACAGCATCAATATGACCATCCATTGCTCCAATAAATGGCCTTGCAAATATCTATAAAAATCAAAATAATTTTTTACCCGCCAAAAATAATTAAAAAACAAAAACAATTCAATTAAATATTTCTCGAATTACCTTATCCAATTTGGTGGCGTTAAGTGCACGGACATATTCGATAGCTTTTTCTTGAGGCCGTAGACTGGGGTCGAAATTGTGAAACACTCTCTAATTATATTGAAATTAAATTCGTTATTTTAATAACAATCGGAGCTTTCTAAATAGAAAGAGTGGAAAATGGATTTCTTTTCCTGTTCGAAATTTAAAATGAAACTGGAATTTCGAAAAGAGAAGGGAAAGAAAAAAGAAAAACCTGAAGATCTTGGCTTCGTTCTCGAGTGAATTCGTCAGTTGATCGTGATATTACTTTTACTTTCATTGTTATTTCAGTTCTCGAGTTCAATTTTTCAATTTAATTTATCTCCGCGATTAGATATTGATGATAAGAGTTCCAATTTTGAAGTGAAAAACCCTAGACAATAAGTGTTTAGGAAAATCAGCTAAAACCCTACCCGAAACGAGACTCTCGTCTCGAGGGAGAGAGATAAAGGGTCTGGGCCTCATAATGAAATGGACCTAAAATCTCTTGGGCCTTAATTTAAGGGAAGCCCATAATTGAAGCTCATCTACCAATCCAGGGGAAAAGATTTCCTTCTGTTTAGTGGACAATTGACAACATAGACATCCAACCGGTTCGATTCGCACCAAAATCAAACCAGGTTTTAGCGACCAAACCAGCTCCAGAACGTTTATCCAATCTACTTTCAGAATGAGTTATTCCATGACTTTTAATCAAGTGTGGGCCTTTCTCTCGTCTCCTTTGTAGGAGTCTTTCGTCCCTATTTTTTTAGGGTTTTTTTGGTTTTTTCCTGTATTTTTCTCCGATGGCTGATGAGGACGGCGTTTCGGTCGATATGGCCAATCTTTCTGTGGACGGTGATGAGGATGATGGCTTAGTTTATGGGGATTAGATGGACCCAATTGACAAACATAGACATCCAACCGGTTCGATTCGCACCAAAAATCAAACCAGGTCTTAGCGCGACCAGTAAACCAGCTCCAGAACGTTTAATTCTCCAATGCTACTTCTCAGAAATGAAGTTTATTCCATGACTTTTAATCAAGTGGTGGGCCTTTCTCTCGTCTCCTTTGTAGGAGTCTTTCGTACCCTATTTTTTTTTTGTAGGAGTCTTTCGTCCCTATTTTTTTAGGGTTTTTTTGGTTTTTTCCTGTATTTTTCTCCGATGGCTGATGAGGACGGCGTTTCGGTCGATATGGCCAATCTTTCTGTGGACGGTGATGAGGATGATGGCTTAGTTTATGGGGATGATGAACCGCTTGAACAGGATCAGAGTGAGGACCCTAATCTATGTCTTGTTGGGCGATTTTTGACTGAAAAAACAATTAATTTCCATGCAATGAGACATACTATGGCATCGTTCTGGCGTCCGCTGATGGGTATGCAAATTCGTGAGATCAATGGAGGGGTTTATGTTTTCCAGTTTTTCCATGAGGTTGACGTCCATCGTGTGCTATCGATGTGTCCATGGACTTTTGATAATCAGCTGTTGCTTCTGGAAAGGCTTGGGAGTTATCCTACTCCCCTTGATGTTCCATTATTCTTTGTCCCTCTCTGGGTTCAAGTGAAGGGGTTGCGTTCTAGTTTTAGGTCAGAACGAGTTTTAAAAGATATTGGGGATAGGATTGGCCAGTTTATGGAGGCTTATTCGAAGAACTTTGAGAATAGTTGGGACTCCTATATGCGTATGAGAGTAAAGTGGGATGTTCGTCGGCCACTTAGGGAGGAGTTTAGCATCAAGCGTTCCACAGGGGAGTCTTTTACGGTTTACTTTTCTTATGAATGACTTCCAATATTCTGCTTTATCTGTGGTTTTCTTGGCCACACTGAACGTTTTTGCCCTAAATTGCTTGAGTTTGAACCTGGTAAAGCTGTTCGTCGTTTTTCTCAGAACTTGCGTGCATCAAACCGTAAGCCAGTTTTTCTCAGAACTTGCACGTGCATCAAACACCGTCGAGGTGCAAAAGGAAGCCTGTTGGTCGACACAGCTATGGTTTGCTGTCTTTGGGTGTAACAGTGACAATTCTGAATGTCGCGGGTCTAGGTAAAGAGAGGATGGTGTTGGTGGTTTCGTGATGGCTGCGGATATGGTGGCCCTAAGCATGGGGTCTGCTAATTTGAATAGAGGACATAGTTTTGGTATGGAGTGCATCAGGGACAAATATTGTTACTAATCGCACTTGCTGAGTGAATGCAAATAGTTCATACCCTGGAAGGATCCTTGGTCATGGCATACTACTCCTCGGTGATGTCGGTGATCGAAAGCATTCGAAGGAGATTGTGATGTTAAAAATTGTCACGTGTGGGTCATGCGACCCAGCTCCAAGGACGTTGACTCCAAGGTTTTGCTTCTCATGAGTATGCTACTTAGGTCCAACTAATGTGATATCGGCCGCGCCCCAGGAATGCAGGGCTGTCCGAAGAAATGAGTTGCCTTCCATCAGGAACTGTCGTGGCGGCCTGGGCAAACACATAAAAATATATTCAAATTGTCTTCATTTCTTGTTTTAAAAAAAGGCATACTTTTAACTTCTTTGTCTTCAATTTCTTGTTTTAGAAAAAAGGCATACTTTTATTTTTCTTATTGAGACTCTTTGTTCTTTTAATAAAATTAATGAAATAAAAACTTTGTTGGGTTATGATGATTGTATTGTGGTTGATTCTGTGGGTTATAGTGGAGGTTTAGCGCTCTTATGGAAGTCTGTTTCATCAGTTCGACAGCTTAATATTTCTTTAAGATGCATTGATGTTGAGGTAGTGGTTGATCAGGTGGGTGAGTGGAGGCTTACTGGCTTTTATGGGCAACCTGACCGTAATCGTCACTCTAAATCATGGAATTTGCTTAGGAATTTGGTTGAATGTAGTGAGCTGCCATGGGTTTGTTTGGGTGACTTTAATGATATTCTTCACCAACATGAAAAGAAAGGGGGGCGTCGGCAGCCTCAGAGTTTGATTAATGGTTTTCTTGATTCTATCTTAGATGCTGGTCTTACTGATTTTCCCATGGGTGGTTACCCATTTACTTGGGAACATGGTCGAGAGTCTAATATTCTTATTGGGGGGAAACTTGATCGCGTTCTTGCTTCGGCTAATTGGGTTGGTTTGTTTCCTTTGGCACGTGCTCATGTTCTTAATACCTCTTCATCTGATCATCTCCCATTATTTTTGGAGGTTTGAACTTATATGACCCGTTAAGTGGCTAGACGTGTTAAGTTTGAAAATTCATGGGTTAGGAATTTAAGTTTGAAAATTCATGGGTTAGGAATCCAGCTTGTCGTCAATTGGTTCATGATAGTTGGGTTGCTTCGCAAGATATGGACTTGTTAGACAGATTGGCTTTTTGTAGTTCAGCATTGGACCGGTGGGGTGTGGAGCAACGTAATTTTGATAGGAATTTGTTGGCAGATTGTAGACGGATTATGAATGTGCTTCGGGGTTCTAGAGTTCCTGTAGACATTCAGAGTTTTATTGCGGCTAAAAAAATTTTCATGATTTATTGAATGATCGTGAAATTCGTTGGAAGCAGAGGTCTAAGACGTTTTGGCGTAAGGAGGGAGACAAGAATACCCGTTTTTTCCATATGGCTGCATCTATACGTTTTAAAAAGAATCAATTTTCTAAATTAAAGAATGCTAGGGTGTTTGGGTGGAGGATGATTCGGGTTTGGATAAGCTAATCACGGGGTATTTTTTTTGATATATTTACTACTAATGTAGGTGATGTTGGCCCGGTTGTGGATCATGTTCCTGTATGTGTGACACCGGATATGAATGCTGACCTTATGGCTCCGTATACTGCGGATGAGATTAAAGTGGCGGTATTTAGTACGAAGCCTGATAAAGCTCCTGGAATGGATGGCTTTAATCCAGTGTTTTATCAAAATTATTGGGATATTGTTGGTCCTTCAATTTCACAGGTTTGCATCCAGTATTTGAGTCAGGGTGTTTTTCCTAGTGAATTAAATAATACTCTCCTTGTGCTTATTCCAAAGAAGGATATTCCTGAAAGTATGGGTGACTTACGGCCAATAGCTTTATGCAATGTTGTGTATAAGATTATGAGCAAAGTTATTGCTAATAGGCTTCGGCAGATTTTGTCTAACATTATTTCTCCATCGCAATGTGCTTTTATTCCTAACCGTTCTATACAGGATAATAGCATTATTGCTTTTGAGTTGATGCATTTTTTCTTAATAAGAGGAGTGGTAAGGATGGGTATGCGGCATTGAAGATGGATATTTCAAAAGCCTATGATAGGTTAGAGTGGAGTTATATTACTGTCGTTTTGGATAAGATGGGGTTTAACCATCAGTGGATTAGTTTGGTAATGGGGTGTGTTTCAACGGTTTCTTATTGGATTTTGCATAAGGGTAACCATTTGGGTCCTATTGTTCCGTCTAGTAGTGTGCGTCAGGGGGATCCACTTTCACCTTATTTGTTTATTCTTTGTGCGGAGGGTCTCTCCCGCATGATTCAATCTGCTGTTAATGCAGGACTGTGGCATGGTTGTTCTATAGTTCGTGGGGCTCCTTTTATTGACCATTTATTTTTTGCTGACGACAGTTTGCTTATTTTTAAGGCTGATACTTCTGAAGCAGCTATGGTGAGTTCGTGGGGCTCCTTTTATTGACCATTTATTTTTTGCTGACGACAGTTTGCTTATTTTTAAGGCTGATACTTCTGAAGCAGCTATGGTGAGAGGAATTATTAATGGGTATGCTCAAGCATCAGGTCAGCTTATTAATCTCTCCAAATCTTCTTTATGTTTCTCCAAGAATGTTTCGGAATTGGTTCGATTACAAGTTTGTGGTGTTATGGGTGTGGAAGAAAACCAGATTTGGGTTACTATCTGGGCTTACCAACTCGTCTTGGTCTCAATAAGAGAGAGGTCTTCGGTTTTATCAAGGATCGAGTTTGGAAGAAGTTAAATTCCCTGAAGCGACATTGTTTATCACGAGCGGGGAAGGAAATACTGTTGAAGACTGTACTACTAGCCTTACCTAATTATGTTATGAATTTGTTTCTGCTTCCTAAATCTCTTTGCAAGGAAATTCAGAGCATAATGTGTAGTTTCTGATGGGGACGTGATATGCAGCAACGGAGGGGAATTAATTGGATTAGTTGGGAGAGGATGTGTTGACCGAAGTTTTTGGGTGGTCTTGGGTTTAGAAAGTTATATGAGTTTAATTTAGCCATGGTAGGAAAGCAAGCTTGGCAGATTTTCATGAATCCGACTTCTGTCGTGGCTTCTTTGTTGAAAGCTAAGTATTTTCCTCTCACTAATTTTCTTGAGTCAAGTTTGGGTAACAGACCTAGTTTTTTATGGCGCAGTCTTTAGGAAAGCCGGCAAGTTGTTTGTGTGGGTGCTTGTTTGCGGGTAGGTTCCGGTTCTACTATTTCCATTTGGCAGGATGCTTGGTTGCCGTCAGTATCTTCAATGAAAATTGTGAC